CAATATGTTGTGTTGTTTTATAATTCTGGTCAGATTATAACTAACTTAATCCTGTTTCTTTTTGTCATAACAGTCGGAAATTATAATCACAAAATTTTCCATTATATCATATAAATATTATAAATGAGAAACTTTAGATGGATGGATATTTGTTAGCGTTTGTAGCCTAAACTGCTGCACGGATTTCCATGAAATTTGGTATAGTTATATATAAGATATAGGCTCATAATCATACCCACTATTGTTACTTTTTAATTCGACGCGGACGGAGTTGCGGGCGAAAACTGAAACATGAAGTGGTCCATCTGGCCCTTTATAGTCCACGACATGGTAAGGAGTTAAAATGGTAGCAAACAAAAGTTTACTTGGAAAAAGCTATAGCAGCTTGGAGCGCATAGAGATTAGTAAACTGGCAAAAGAGATCGAGAAAAAAAATCCCTGCCTTATATTACAAGGGCCCATTTGAATATTAATGAATCAACGTGTCTATAAATAAGCAAAGAAAGCAAAAATGACCCTAAATTTGGTCGCGCGATTTTGAGCTAAACTATTTAATTACGTCGTAGTCTTAGACTCCAAAAATCAAACAAAAAAATGGGACCCACCTGCAAGCATTACCTTTCGAATAAAAAAAGGAATTATCAAAATCGGTCCACTAGCGGCGGAGTTATGCCGTAACACACATAAAAAAAACATATAGACGAACTGAGTACCTCCTTTTGGGAATTCGGTCAAAAACAGTTTTAACCAAATCATATTAATTAATGATGTCAAACTGTCTACACATACAGGAAAACTTTATAAAACGCGAAGTATTAAAAAACACATCACATACATTCTGATATCGAATACATAATAAAGGATATGAGATTAATAACTGGTATCTATTAAAACATCTAACTATAAAATACTTGACTTTTAAAATATATTTACGACCCAATAAATTACCGTCTTCAAGTCGACTGAATGATGACTGCTAATTTGTGTGAAAACTTTACAATAATTTAGATCACCTGAAACATTGTTATAAACAGACTAAATTATTTTCCACTCTAAAGTTCTCTAATACAAATTATTTTAACGACATTATCTATAAAACTACTAGTAAAATTAAACTACACAGATACTGAAGAGATCGTAGTCCCTCCTTTATATTTTTTTTAAATCCTCACACTCATATGATTATTATAAACGAGCGGTCGTCCGCGTAGTATTAGAAAACTTGCGAACTATATAAATAACAAAAAGCTACATATTCCTCGGGAACCGGACATTTCTCGGGGATGAAGCTTATCCCATGTATACTCCAGACTTTTTTTACATCTGTGCCAAATTTCTGTAAGATATGTTGAACCGTTGCAGAATGATCGAGTAAATATTAAAAAACTAAATTAATGAATCCCACGGGAACCGTAACTTATCCGGGGATAAAAAGTAGCCTATGTGTTCTTCCAGACTATGCTCTAAACCTGTGCCAAATTTCAAGGAGATCCGTTCAGCCGTTAGGCTACAAACGCTAACAAACATCCATCCATCCATCTAAACTTTCGCGTTTATAATATTAGTAAGACTAGTAAGATAAATATTAATTTTTGTGTTCTAATTGTTGTGCAAAAAGAATTAAATAGATAAATAAATACATAACCACCCAAACGCTCATACACACCTACACACAAACTCATACACACACATACACAGAGTCACAATTGAATTCACATACAATTTATCTTTTTCATCGAAAAATACTTTAGATTTGTATTACTGTATGTCCTAAATAACTTGCACGGAAAATCCCTGGCTCCTACAAGACAGGCCTAACCTAGTGTAGAAAGCAGGCGCTCGACCACTATTTTGTAATAACAAATTTCGTAACAACTTTATTAAAAAATCTTTAAATTATAATAATTCATACTTGGTAAGTGTGAAATTAAAACGGCACTAAATATGTATGATTCCATTTGCCTCAGTCAGATTTGTCACAGACGTTGCAGTGATTCGATTAACACTGAAACAGTCTTGAAATGTTTATGTTTTTATAAATATGCATCAAAGCTCACCTTGAATTCAAAACTAAACGTTGCTAAACATTTACGCACAATATAAATCCAAATTCGGAAGGCGTTCCATTTTCAAACTGCTTTTTTACATCGATAGCTTACGTTCATAATGTTTTCATTTACCATAGACAGAATTAAGAATCTATGTTTATTGGATTAAAATATATTTCTAGTAGCATTATAATTAATTTAAATTTTTACGTACTGAAACTAAAATAATATAACTAATACGATAGCATAAGAATGTCCTATAATAATATTATAGTTCAATTTGTAGCGTGAACAGCATATAATTACTAAGCAGATATTACCTATAGTTACCATGTTATTGTTCGAATTAAATTTATGACAAACGGGACACAAATCGTCCATTATGGCTAAATTTGGTTGTTTTTGGAACTATCTGTTCCCGTGAGACTTCATCCCCATAAAATTATGAAAATTTTATTTCATTGTTTACATGTGTCAAATTATCAATTGCAAATGTCAAAATGACATAACAATGGCAACCTTGCTTTCTTGATGTTGGCAGCATCTTATGGTTTCTTTCCCACATTAGGGTTTTTATCCAAAATATTAACCCCTAATTTTAATGTCGTCAAAATATATAGCCTAAAGCGTGACGTAAGTGTGGGGCTTTTTATAAAAAAAATATTCAAAAACATGCTGTAATTGCTGACTTCTTAAGCAACAAAGAAGTGTGTGTTTACGCTTTATTATAACAGTATATATATTAAATTTTGTTTTACAAATACCAACTATAGAATAATCATGATGTTTTATTTTTATTATTTTAAAAAAGTCGCATTTAAAAGGTATAATCTGTATTAAGGACGTTTTAAATTGACCTGTAACTTATTCAGTTCAGTGTTCAAACATCCTGTGCGGTAAAATTAAACCGTTTCTACACATGCATAAGTGATTTATCTTGTCAGTCCGTGCATTAGTCACCGTGTGATCGTAATGATATTGAATGTAGGATTTAGTTCTAACTAGATTGAAATATAGGGGTTTTAAGATTAAAAGTAAACGATTCACTTCATACTAATATGAATGCGAAGTTTAGATGGATGGGTGTTCTTACTTCTCTAGATGACTTAACGGATCTCGATGTTTTGCACAGATGTAGAACATAGTGTAGAAGTAAATACACTTTCGTTGCTTTTTAGGTTTTTTATTTAATTTAGTTTATGGGATAGTAATTTAAACTGGTTTTATTATGACGATTATCAACTTAGAAACTTTGACAAGAATTACGTATTTTTTGATTGGTGGGTTGCATGATTCAATTCTGACACTTGATAATAATAAAAAAGTAAATTGTCTATGCATCGAACGAACAACAACAGATACTGTGACCATTGTGTGGTTTACATTATTATAATAATTCTTAAGTTTTTACAAATGATTATATCTTCTCAACCGGATGTAAAAGACTATATTTCATTAAAACTGCAACATTAGTCAACAAACATTGAATTTGCTTAATTTTCGACGTTCGCAAAACTGGAAGTCATTGACAACTACCGCATAGTTGTTTATTATACAAATGTATTCGTAGATTACTATATTTAGAGACATCCGTCTGTCATAAGGTAAAGAGCTTATTATTTAAGAAATTAAAACCCTTGTTAGGGCTGGAAATAACAGAAATATTACATGTGTTCGGGTAACTGTAGTTTTTCACCAAGGCAAAAGTAAATGCTTATCTCTTTTATCTTTGAGTAGAGTGACAGAGATGACAGCATTGGTTTAACTAATTCGAGATTGTGAACTCAGATATATTGTTTGTCTAGTTTCTTTAATTGTTTCATGACTTTACACTGATTTTAAAAAAAATCGTTGATGCAAACTTTGCTAAACTTTAACAGGAATATTTATGTAACTACTAGCTTTTGCCCGCGATTCAGTCCGCTTGGAATTAAAAAAAATTAACAGTAGTAGAGCCCGCTTTAACATCTTCGCACGAATGGGCCGGCTCGCCCGGTGCAATACTACGACCACACAGAAAACAGGCGCGAAGTGGAAGCAATTCCGCGTTTCGTCTGATGAGTGTGGTGCCGGAGGCCTAATTTTAGTCCCGTTCCCTTTCCACCCTTTTCTTATGAGGAAAGGATGGGAAGGAAAAGTGGATTTGACGGTGAGGAGACGCATAGGAAGCGGAAATGTCCTCTTTATGTGCATCTCCTCCTCCGTCAGTTAAGGGTAGGCAACGCATTCTGCAATTGCGGATGTTTATGGGCAGCGGTCACTTTCCATTTCGGTGGATTCAGGTGGCCGCTTGCTCGTTTGCCACCTTATATTATAAAAAAAAAACCAAGTGTGTGTATGTGTTCTTTTAGACTATCCTCTGCCTCTGTATCAAATTTCATCGAGATCCGTTCAGCCGTTAAGGCTGCAAACTCCAACAAACATCCATCCATTCATCTAAACTTTCGCATTTATAATATTAAGTAAGATTCATAAAAGATATAATGAGTCATATTTGTTATTCTTGTTTTTTAAAAATGATTCTTACGCTATCAACCAGGTTAATTATATTTGAAATTCCTAAACAACGAAGCCGGAACTCTCAAACGTCTTAAATTCATTCTTTAAATGACAACTCGGTGTTGCTATTCACGTCCTCGTAGGTGTTGCCGCAAGGTCGAAACTTATTTGGATTTAATAATGATATATCTAGATCTTCTAAAACCTCGAGATCTTATCGAATTGAATTCATTTAAAAATTATGAAATATTTTTAGTTATTTGTATGTTTTGATGGGTCAGGTCTAAGCCATTATTTATAATTCAACATAGACTATAACATAATTACCAATTAAAATATTATTTTTAGCATATTTACATCCAATTTTAGTGTTTCGCTCAATATATCTCACAAATTTAATAAACTAGTGAATAAATAAATCAGTCAATTTATTAACACTCTTATTCTTTACAGGATCTGCGCCCGCTTCTGAAATCCAAACACGTCCAGGGTTTGGAGATCCACGATGCTCACCGCACTCTCAATAGAACAAAAGTCACAGAGCTGGTGGAGTCAGCTCGTTCCGCCATCAGCACCACTGGCGGCGGACCCTTGTTCCTAGCACTACCTGCTCATCCTGAACTCCTGGCGAAGTACTACGATCTTAGAGAGCTGGTGAAGAAGACTGATTTGATGATAATTCAGACACATGCTTTAGGCTTGGTGAAGAAGATGACTTATCATCCCAGTCGACTCAGTGGTTTGTGGGACATGATGAACACTGTAAGTGAAAATTTTGAATAATTCAACTATCTATCTACTCTACTATTAATATAATGCAAAGCAGAACACTCGGTTACCTATTCAGCACTATATTGGTTGCACTGATTGCCATATTTAGTTATGAATAACCTTAGACTAAACTTTCCCACAACTGTTTAGTCGCGCTTTAATTCCTATGAGCCTATATTGCGATGCACACGAGACGCGATTTTTATTTGAACAACTAAACTGTTGAATTTGTTCCAAAACAATCGACAATCGCGCAAAAACTATGAGATAGTTTAACCAAAGGTGTGCGCCTGCTCGTAAGGTTCAGTAACATTTGTATAGAAGGAAATAAAGAGGTATATGAGAATATTAAGGAACCATTTAGCGACTGAGCGTGATAATAATTATTTCTTATTAATATTTAAACAACTGTCTGCTTTTCATTTTTAGACGAGTTTCTAAAATCACAACTTATCAACACCCAAAGAACAGATGCATAAAATGTTTTGCAACAGCACATTAGTAACACTAATAAATTTTCTCATATTAAACCTCTTTTGGAGATAAATTAAGCCATAAAAATGCTTAACAGACTGACTGGATATAAAGAACTTATACGTTTTATTTCATTTTAATTCTGTTTAAAAATCACTTTAAAAGTACTGACCCTCGACAACTCATAAACATGTTTAATACCGCTTACATCTTTACGATGTAAATTAAATAATGTCTTCATAAACCCACGTAATATTAAATTTAACCAACCAATTACATGTAAAAAAAAAAAAATTATTATGAAAATATAAAATTAAAATGTGGCTTTTTAAACATTTTAGACAATGGTTCAATGGCAAAAGATTTTCGTTAAATATTCGCAACAAAATAACTATTTACAGTTATTTCTTTGTATATTAAATAAATTAAATTTGCTAACATGTTATGTATTATTATTTATATATTACAAAACGATAAGTCATTAAAACTAGAAATGTAATATTTATGTAAAAAACATTCTCATACAATAAAATTTAAAACCATTAAACTAAAAGCTACGGACAATTCTATTCAATGTCAAAAAAAAACAATGAATTACGTATAAAGATTTATGCTTTTTGAATAAAATGTAGGGCAGTTAATAATGATTTGAAATTATAATAACAATTTTAAATACAAACCAAAGGTTGTAATAAATTTTGTGTAACGCAACGTATGGGTGTGGTCACTGGCCGTGGCTGATATTACAACACCTTATTTTATAACCTGTATTAAAAAAAAAACTAGGATAAGAGTTCAGTTCAGTTGTAACATACGTGGTTTTATTTTTAATGACACCTTCTAAATACCGTAAATAAAAGTGTAACTATATAACAATTTTAAGGCATAATTTGTTTTGTCTTAGTTCCCTCATTTATAGGTTCATAACATAACCTTAAAAATGGTAAAATATACTAATAATGTAAAGAGAAAATATTTTTGTATGTATTGATATAACTCAAAAACAACAAGGCCGATATCAAAAATTCTTTCACCATTGAAAAGCTACGTTATCAATGAGTAATATAGGTTATATTTTTTAATTTCACGCGGGTGAAATCGCGAGCAACAGCTAATAAAATAAGTTTTTAGTTACTAGCTCATATGTCTAACATGTCATGGGATATAAAAATTAATAAATCGTTTAAATTTTCGACCAAAATATCTATAAGTATGTAAATTAACTAGTAATTTATCTTATTTACAACGCTCGTATATTTAGCAATTTCCTGTGCCTTAGGAGATATAACTATAAATGTTTATACAAACTGCGGCTTGTATCCGTTATTAATGGTTCCAAAAGTTTTAATTGAACAATTAAGTACTGTTCAAAAACTAAATACCATATTTTATGGAATTATGATTTTTTAATTCAGTAGCAATCGGTTTATACTTTGACATTTAGGGCGGAAATGTCTAAAATGCGAAGAGGTAAAAAACTGATAGCAAGCAATTGGTTTTATACTTTGGAAAATAGGTCGCTGTTCAGATCCCGCGTATGAAATCGTAACTAGTTTGTCTCAGCAAAAATCTCTGCCGTTTGTTATGAGAGATGTACAATTTTATAAATAGAATTTAAGAATGTCATCTTCTACTTGATACTGAGTGAGGCGTCCTTTTCCCACTCATAGATAACGTTAAGTTTAAGAAGCGAGTCTTCCATATCAAAGGCCGGCAACGTATCTGTAGTTTCCCTGATGTTTCGGATGTCTTTGGGCGTATGACCACCTCTGTGTTCCCGCTGCTTGTTTGCCCACTTTTCTTTTATAAAAAAGTCTATGCACACTTTTGAGTCACCTTGGATCTGTATCTTCAAATCACAGCCCTAGCCAAGTCCTAGTTTTGATGAGGCATATGATCGCTTGATTACGTCATTTCTGTTCAGTGGTGTAAGGCGAAGGTGAACTGGCTTTGCTGCGAGAAAAATCCAGCAATTTTTACTTATGCGACAGTAAAAGTTCTTTAACACTCTTATGTGTAACAAAATAAGAGTTACTTTAGTAACATTCAAAGGAAAATAAGTCACTAATGTTTCTTTTTACAAATTAGTACATCTAGGCCAAGTGACAGGTGCATCTTTGCCGTTGAAAACCCCACACAATGTAGTAACGTTAAGTTTGTTCCTTTTATAGTATGTTGAGCAAATAAAAACAAATTAAAATATTCCTTTGGAATAGGTTAGATTCTTTAAGTGTTTTTAAACTAGGAATATTTATAAAGATAAAATTATAACCTAAAATTACAAAATCTTAGGTGTCAAAAACGAAATATCAATTTTAATCATTTAGTAAAAAGTTTAAATTATGCTCTAATTACTTAAAGCTTATATTCATAGTGGCTTTTAACTTATTATTAATAAAGTCCAAGTCAAGTTTTACTAATCTTAAAATATGTGTGGTGACATTTCTTCTATTGCAACTTTGCTCTTAAATATTGCGTAGGCGCAGGATTACCTACTTACACAATCAAATGTCTCATAATGTATGATTCCGTCCATAGTTTTTGGGCATTTTAAATCATTTTTAGATAAAGCTATCCATTTGTACAAATCTAATTAATACAAATGTCTGGAAATGAATGAGTTTGGCTTTCAAAATGACAAGAATTAAAGTTATGGTTGATATGTTAGATTTTTGTAATAATTTACTTTAGGCTATGAGTCACTTTATTCTTTATCTATTTTTTTTTAATATAACCCACTTTTAATAATGCCAACATCTAAAACAAGATTTTCATTTCAATAATGTATCGATTTTCATCATTTAATTATGAAATAAAATTTTCTTTCAGGATTCAGTGGTCGATTTAGTGGTTGGTCTTGGTGTGCCATCATCCAAAGTGGTGATCAGTTTACCAGCGACCGCCCGTCAGTTCACACTCCTCAACGAGACCTTGAGTACTCCTGGCAGTCCAACGTTGGATGATGAGCCCAAAGAGATAGACCAGGCCGAGCTCTGCAGGCAGTTGCAAAAAGGAAGATGGACATTGGAAAGGGACCAGGATTTATCCGCTCCGTATGCTTTCAAGTAAGCCTTATTTTGTGTGCATTTTATAGAATTATGGAATTAATTTATGGAAGAGGAAGTAATTATTTAAATGTAAAAAGCAAATGGGTTATATTGAAAAAAGTTTTAAGGCAGATCGGTATTTGTCTGACTCAGAACGCATCTTTGATTAAAATATCGCATTGTTTAGTCTCGCTTTGATTCTTATGAGCTTATATGGAGGTCACTACTCGATTTATAATTGTGCAAACAATTGATTTGGCTGCGAAACAATCGACAATCGCACAACAGTTGTGCTATAGTTTAGTTAAAGATGCGCCTCAAACTCTAGTACTTTTACATCAAAGTTGTGTCACAATCATCATTACCAGCTCACTACATGTCCCCACCGAGGGGCCTACCCTAACCCTAAGTAAGGGATGACTAGGCCATAGTCAACCACGCTGGCCAAGTGCGGGTTGGTTGACTTCACACATATCTTTGAATTTCTTCGCCGATATGTGCAGGCATCACGATGTTTTACTTCACCGTTAAAATGTCGGGCAAATTATGTACATATGAAAAATCGAAAATCACATTGGTACAGCGGGATTCGAAACCAAGACCTGTAGATTACAAGTCAAGAGCTTAAACCACTGAGCCACAGACGCTCTCTGTGTCACAATCAATATAGGATATTATCAAAGTGTTAGAACTATAAACATATGATTGACACTATTACATTCTTTCGTTAACGTTATTTATTCTTTAACAGCCTGATCTCTGACCTCAGATCTAAATTATGCAGTAATTAGCATCTATAATCAATATTTGTCAATATTTAGAATAAACTATAGCGGTCCATTAACGATTTCTTATTTTTTATTTTTAACCAGCGTTTGGAAAATTCAGTTTAAGCGTCTTTTGGCAACATTTTAACAAATACTTCGACCTCCTGTAACACAGATCCCCACCTTTCTCAGGAGGCAGAGCCCCAATGATTATTGTAAAGTGTTTTTTTTTTAGCTTTTTTAAATGTTGCATAATGTATGTAGTTCGACATTTATGTATAATGTGCATTTATTTAAAGCTTGAGTCTTCTATTACCATTGGATTCCACTGCCGAAAGAACCGAGGCTAGCACGAAAATTTGCAAAAAAGTATTCCTATCGATATTGACCAAAATTTATGAAATTTGTGCAGCACACCAACAAATCTTATTCCAATTTTAAATTCCAATACGAATGATTTTCGGCAAATTTTCGTACTAAGTTCTCTTTACAAAAACTGCTATCTCAGTTTCTTTAGCGAGAGTAAGGGAGACTGTTTTTAATGAATGTCATGCATATAAAAACCGTGACCGATAGACGCTTTTGAAGTATGGATACAAATTAATGGTTTTACAAATTGCAAATGCATAATTATAATAAATTTCATTTTATTATTCTCGAAGTATACCGTGATAAGGATTGTGTAAATAATGATCTCAATTTGAATTTTTACTGCTTTAAAAAGTGTTGAGAATGCTTAATTAATCATGAATTTTAATAATGACAACCCCGAGCTATAAACAAGTCTTGCCATTATGTTTATAATTGTCATACAATGTAAATATCTTCATAATTAAAATGGATCTATAACAAGATTGGGAAATAAATCATTCAAAGTTTAATTTTAAATCTCATCACGTTATCGAGCTGAATTTATTATAATAATTAATAATATAAGTTGTAACAGATCTGGTTTTTGACTAAAATATCATAAAAGAACAGAATCTTGTTCCTTTATCATATTTCATAATAAAAGTTTGCGTCATAGCGTAATAATGTAGCTATTAATTTAAACAACAAATATTTTACTAGTGTTCTAAGTATGTTTTTAAATTTAATAATTGTAGGAACACCACTTGGATATCCTTTGAAGATGCATCGTCAGTGGACGTGAAAGGTAAATACGCCCGTGTGAGGGGTCTAGCTGGACTGGCGCTGCATAAAGCTGACAAGGATGTAGACACGCCGTGTGGACCTACGCTAAGGGCCAGCTTAACTAAGGTCCTGAACCAGCAGAGTCGGGCACCCAGAGCTGCTGTGCTTAGGTAATTCTATTCCTAATTCACATAACTAATAAAGTCGTAATAGAAAAATTACAAATATAACTCTGTTTCGCCAAAGTATCTTCTATTATTAAATCGATCATTACTTACCAAGTGTTGATAACTGTAATAAACATTTTAATTTAAAAATCAAAATATTTAAAAACGTAACGTTGTTTTCAGAGATTTAATTTAAGGAAAGAAAAATAAAGTCTGTAGTCATAAGTGCAATATAATTTCAGGTCTCTGGAGAACGAGATCCTGTCAGCAGGTCAGGGCCGGCCTCTTGACGCGCTTCAAGTATCTCCCTACCGTATCACGCAGATCGTAGACTCGGACGGCGTCATTCACTCCATCAGAGAGGTTAGTTTAAAAAAACACATTAAGTAACCACTCAATATCGAGATTCAACTAACCTCGTCTGAGTAGAACGCCATCTGTTACAGAAAAACTATAACGAAGGTAATCGATTAATGTGTGTGTGAAAAATTTATAATGCACTGGTTTTAATTATTGAACTGTATTTACCAGGACACAAGAACTGAATTCTCTTGCTCCCGCCAAGGTTACTTTGTACACCCTCGCTCCTGCGCCAGATTCTACCGCTGCGTGAAGTTTGACCAGTACTCGGCTGATTACACGGTTCGTTTTTTCATGTTTTACTTTGTGAATAACCTAGTGTGTGTACATATCGCTTAGGTTTATTTCAAAAGATGTTACTAGACTGTAGTTATACGTTCTGATAGGTTGAGGGCCGTGGCCAGGCGTAAGCCAAGATTATGTGTCTAAGTTTCCCTCGTGTTGTGCAGGTGTTTGAGTTCGACTGTCCTACTGGTCTGGCGTTCGACGCGCGCTACGAGGTGTGCGTGTGGCCGGGCAGCCTGGCGCACTCGCAGGCCTGCCCCGGCACCGCGGAGATAGCGCCCGTACCGCGCACCAGGTTCATCTGTCCCGACGCTGAAGGTATTACATAAGACCGGTTTTCGTCATAGATTAAAATTAACCCTCGAAATGATGTTCAAATTTTTTCGGCAGAAACATTTTTGCAGGCTATTATTTCTACTTGATATTTTTGCCAGGTTACTATGCGGATCCTGAGAACTGCCGATGGTTCTTCGCATGCTTAGACCATGGCAAAGCGCCACTAACCGCGTATGAATTCCGCTGCCCGTTCGGGCTGGGCTTCGACGCAGCGCGGCTCAAGTGCGACTGGCCCTGGCTGGTGCCCGGCTGCGGGAACATAGCCAGATACGAGGCCGAGGCATATGGCTTCTCTGCCGCCACGCTCACTGGTAATTGGACTTGATCTTTATAAGCCACATATATGGTTTTTTATTTTGTTAATTTCGAATAAGATATTAAATAAGCAACTTTTGTTCCAGGTGCTCTAGGGTTCCAGGGCAAGACGGCCGATGCCGTGAACATTGCTGCCCATCAGAGTCTGGCCTCCGGAGCGGCGCTGGACAACCTGGTCGGCCTGCAAGGCGGCTTCCTCACCAACGGGGACGCCATCGACACCAACTTCATCACCTCACAGGAACTCGAAGGAGGCGCCAGCAATGGACACGAATATATACTAACGAACGACGCTTCAAGTCTAGTCGAAAATGTTATTAAATATAATGGCGAACAAGCTAACCTAGGTCTCGTACAAGCTACTAAATATAATGATGGACCAGAATATACCAGCGGATCTATCATCCTGGACGACTACAGGCTGCCGAGCCAGAAAACTGGCGCTAGTCAAGCGCGGCTACAGAATGTTGGCGCAACTGCATCGTACGCCCAGAGCACAGGTGTCACCAGCTCCGTCCGTAAGAACACCGGCAAGTATGACGCCAGATACAACACTGGCTACTACAAACCGCAACAGTTAAGCGGCGCCCGCTTTAGTGATGGCAAATACAGGCCCTCCAACACAGGAAAGTATGTCCACGATCCTACTGGCGACCGCGCTCTGCCTTATAACCACGTCGCCTCACCTATCGTTCCCTACAAGCATGTCGATTATGGTTATACGGTGACCAAAGGTTTCGATGTCGGAAAATACAACGGATCCTGGTCGTATACTGATAGTGGTGACAAGGCATCCGATGGATACTATTACAACAAACCTACGGGACCCGCCTTTGAGGAAGGAGGATATAACACTGGATATACAGGTACATACAACATTAATGGATATGTGGGCACCACCGACGATTCTGGAGCCTACGATCATAGCAGCGCAGGCCATACACTAACCGCAGGTGCAGTAAATGTCGGCCTTGTTGGTAAAACGACGCTAGTCGATGTCGGATATACTGGAGATGACTATGAAAATGTGAAAACAGGACAAGTCTCGTATGTATCGCAACCCGGAGTAACCATAAATCATGTCGGAACCGATCTTCATAATTTAGATGGCTACAGTTTCGCTACAAACCCTACCTCATCTGGTATTCCAACCACCGCCACTCCATTCGCTGTTACAACAGCTTTGCCGACGGTCACGACATTTAAAACTACTTACGTTCCTTTAGCGCCAAAGACGAGCATTAAACAAATATTTACGGTCACTCCTGCGCCCGTTACATTTGTTACTCCCAAAGTGGAAGTTACCGATTACAATTTAAATACCAATTATCAAAGCGAAATTAAGGCTTCAACCGGTTATGATTACGCAAAACCTAGGATTCCATTTGAAGAAGGTATATCTTACACTACCGCTGCACCCGGTATCGCAGTGTCTACATATAAACCTCAAGGATTCAGCCACCAACAACAAACGATCCACCACGTAGCGGCAGATATTTCCAGCTATTCAACACCAGTGACCGAAGTACCTTTCAAGAAATTGGTAGCGTATACCACAACTGGACCGACCATTTCTTCGTACTCACAAACACACGGACAACAGACAAACAGATTTGGTTCTACTAATGTATTCTCGACAGAAACAGGATCCACTGGCTATAACCAGGGTGAGTCGACCGTAACATTTGTACAACCCCAGAATGTCGTTCAGTATACGCAGACTTTACCGACAGCCAGTATTCTACCCACTGTCTCCACATACCAACCACAAACTTTCAGCCAACAAACACTTCATAAGGTGGACGCGAGCAGAATAAACGCATTCGTACAAAATGGAGAAGCTTCTTATCAATATACAAAACCAACCGGCTATGATGGATCGCGACAAACTGTTATCCAGTTTACGACACCGACGCCAATAGTCACTTCGACTTACAGACCGCAAGCGTTCAGTCAGCAGACTCTTCACAGAGTAGTCTCTTCAACAGTACGTCCAGTTGTTCGCAAGCAGTACACGTATCAAACAACTCCTGTCACATTGTACGAGAATCCAATTCTGAAGTACACTCAAAAAGTATTTCCTCAAACAATTGTTAGTTCCACTTACGCGCCGCAGACGTACAGCCAACAAACTATACAAACAGGAGAAACTGCAAAGACATTTGGAATTGACGGTGGGTATACCTACACAAAATCTGGTGTCACCTATCAACAGCCCCAAAAAGTGGTAGAGGTTTCTACCATTCGGCCTGCTATTGCTGTCCAACCTGTCGTTTCTACCTACCAACCACAATCTTACAATCAACAAACAATCCATAAAGTTGATGCGGCGCAAATAAATACCTACACACAAGGTGCTGGAGTCAGTGGTTATTTCAACACACAACCTATTGTTACTTTAGAAGACACTGCCAAAACGGTGGTGGAATCATCCACTGCTGTACCTGTTGTAACATCGACTTACAGACCATATACAGTAAGACAGAGAATTCAAACTCAAAAGTTAATTCCGGTTTCCACTACTCCACTTCCTAAGGTCGAATTAACGTATCAACCTTCGGTTACCATCTATGAGAATCCTATATTGAAATATACACAGAAAGTCACACCAGTCACCTACGTACAGCCTACTGCAACAGTTTTTACACAAACGATTAAACCAGTTCAACAGTATCAGACAACCGGTCAAACATATAATAATTTGAATGTAGACGTGAAGCAAGCAGGTTACACTTACAGCCAACCTGAAATTCAAACTAACATCGGTTCGTCAAAAGCCTACTCAGACGCCAGCGTTGTATCCCGTCAAGAATTCCATCTAAACACCGGCAATCAATATAGCTCAGGAAAAGACGTAGTATTTGTTTCTACTACACCTTCCACTTTAGTTTATGAAGATCACTATTCTACTAAGGATAATACACAATCTACTGCATATATCGCACCTGAAACTAAATATCAACGCACTTATACTAGACCTACAGTTTCTGTTCCTGTCGTAAACGAGCAAATCTCCACAATCTACAAAACCCAAGACCAATACGATTACAAGCCTCTTGAATTTTCACAACAATACGATATCAGTCAAACGGTACCTGCACAAGTATCCGTCAGCCAAACAACCGTAGAACTTCCCAGAAAGACTATTTTCAAACAAACAGCTTACCAAGCTCCAGAAATACAAGTAGCATATAAGGGAGAAGATTATCTACCACCAGTTGTTACAACAGTCACTCCTATTGTGACCTCGACTTATCAACCTTCCACTTACTCAACAGTTGGAACATCACGGGAATATCTACCCGCTGTATCAAAAACAACATTTGAATACAATGGACCCGAATATTTACCTCCACAAACTACTGCTAAACCCACTACCAAGTCAAGGGAGTACTTACCTCCAGTAGCACAAACAGTATTTGAATCAAAAATTACGAACACTCCTTACCAAGACTACAGTGTACCCCAAGACACCACCGTTGTATCATCCACTGCAACACCTACTTATAGAAAACAGAACATTGTCGTAGAGACCGCAAAATCTCAATTACTTGGTTTTGGTTCAGTTGGAACTGACGCAGGTTTAGTGACACCTGTAACTTACAGTACTGCAGCACCTGTTGTCGTATCAAGTACTGAAAATTATTATGTACAACCTAAAGTAGTCACTTCGACGTACGCACCGGAGTTAGTAGAAGTAACTTCGTCTGCACCTCGACGAAGCAGACCGAAATATTTCAGACCAAGTGTAACATCTACTACACAAGCTCCCACTTATGAAGACGCCAAATCGACTACAGCTTATAGAGGTCCAGATTACTTGCCTCCTTCTGAAAATATTAACCAGAAGCTGGAAACCATTGGGTTGACCAACGCAGACGTATCATATTCCCAAAACTTAAATGTTAACCCGTATCAAGAATATACTATTTCCGACGCTACTCCTGTTGTGATATCCTCAACTGCAGCACCTTTGAGGAAGCAGAATATAGTAGTCGATACTGCCAAATCTAACCTTCTCGGATTTGGAACTGTTGGCCCGGACGCTGGATTGGTAACCTATACTTCATCCCCAGCACCAAGTGTAGGAACTTACCAAACAGTTTCCTCTACATACGCCCCAATACAAGAGGAACTTGTTGACGTCACGCCATCTCTTATCCCAGTTCGGCGAACAAAACCCAAAGTTGCGGTTGTCACTAAAATTAACGATTTCAACCCACTTCTTGTAAGAAAATTGGGTGCCGTCTGCAGCTGTCAGTCGCCTGTGTTAGTGCTCAAGGGTAGAAGACCAGCCGTGAAGCAACAAGAAGTCTATACTAATGATTATGACACTGTGACACAGTCATCAAGGGTACAGACGCCGGTTGTAACCACTGTAGTCACTCCAACACCAGCGGTAACATCTACTTATAACCCGATCATAGTACCAGATGATTCATTCTATCAAGACTACCAAGATCAAGCTAGCAACGACCATATAGCGATTGTACCCAACGGCAACGACCACGGGAACTATGTTTCTAGTACACCGGCTATTATTTCCACAACCGAGAAAGTCGTAAGAATACGACCAAGAGTAAAGACTGTTACTGTTGCACCTACATACAGGACTGTGTTGTTAAACGAGGATGTATCACCGACTGTCGAAATCAAAGGAGCTGAAGTAACAACAGATTCCCAATCATTTGATAGATACGGTCCTGGTGGATGGCGAGGCAGAGACGAGACTTTGCAAGGTTCCGTCGATTGTCAGAGAGCGGGTCTGTTCCGACACCCTAAACAATGTAATAAATTCTACGCGTGCAGATGGGACTGCACCAAGCAGCGGTTCACACTCCACGTCTTCAATTGTCCCGTACAGCTCAGTTTCGATCCTAACTTGGGTGCTTGCAATTGGCCAAGCCAAGGACCCGCATGCCAGGGCGATACGCTTCTCACAAACACCATTTAAATAAGTTCCATGAAAAGATCAAATTGAATCTCGATGTGCCATCGAAATTGTGATAGCATGTGATCACACATTATTGTTTCAAATCCTAATTATTTGACTTGCAAGTTGAGTTATTTCTATCTCTTTCTTTCTCTTAATTCTTTAAGCTTATTTATTTTTTTGATTTTGTTAATGTTATGTCATAGTTATTTATTAATCATGTGCTCCTAATAAAGCTTGCGCTCGCTAAATATTATTCATGAAAATTCGGAATTTTTGATTGAACGTTAGTTACCAGTGCCTAGTTCATGTATGTTATGTTTTGTAATTGTCGGATCATACTTTTGTATTTTTATAAATTAATGAAACAACACGCTGTAAATATATCATTTTATTCATTAACAATGTGAGTTTGTACTTATGAATTCAATGTAAAAAGCATTAAATGTTTAAAGCTACTGGTTTTTCTAGTTCTGACAAAACCTCTTTATATTTGGACACCACAGGTTTGACTTCTTCCTCGAGGAACTCGGTAACCTGTTCCGGGGCTCTGCCAATAAATGTTGAAGCATCTAAAATGGCGTCAAGTTGAGAGATTATTGGTGCGAAATATGAGTCATTCTTCACGCGATCAATCAAATCATTATTTTTGCCGTGCTGTTTCACTTGCGCGCCTGCTTCGTGTGACAATACCCTTATCTTTTCATGGCAAACCTGACGATCTCCGCCAGCTTGCACCATTGCCATAATAATGTTTTCCGTTGCCATAAACGGAAGCTCTTGTGCTATGTGCCGAGCGAGCACTTTAGGGTACACGACCAGTCCTTGGCAAATGTTAAGAAGAGTCAGTAACGTAGCGTCAGCGGTAAGGAAAGCCTCGGCCAGAGTTAAACGACGGTTGGCCGAGTCATCAAGAGTACGCTCCAGCCATTGCACAGCGTGGGTGTTAGCGGCGTTGGCGTGTAGAGTGATCAAATGACGAGCCAGGGCGCAGCAACGCTCGGATCTCATCGGGTTTCGCTTATAAGGCATCGCACTGGAACCGATCTGTGATGTTTCAAACGGTTCTTCCAATTCCTTTCTTGAGGCGAGGATGCGTATATCCGAACACATCTTGTGGACGGTCGCTCCGAGTCCGGATAAAGCAGCTATAACCTCTAGATCTACTTTCCTCGAGTAAGTTTGTCCCGTCACAATGTAACGTTTGTCGAAACCGGCGAGTTCAGCGACTCGTTTGTCTAGAGCTCGGACTTTTTGCGAGTCTCCGTTAAATAGTTGCATAAAGGAGGCCTGCGTGCCCGTTGTACCTTTAACACCTCTGAAACGCAAGTCGTCTCTAGCGCGGGACAAGGCGCGTTCGTCCATTAGCAAATCGCTCAACCATAGCGAAGCCCGCTTACCAACAGTCGTTAGTTGTGCTGGCTGTAGGTGAGTGAATCCGAGAATTGGCAGCGACCTGGAAATTGAGAATAAATCTATGAATATATAAATAACAAAATGTAATCTATCAAGTATTTTTAAAATTTAGCATCAATTTTATTAACAAAGAATTCGTACTTGTACTCATCAGCGAATTCCCCCAATCTGCTAATGACTGCAGCGAGTCTTGGCAGTAGCAGATCCAAGCCATGTCTGAGCACAATTAGGTCGGTGTTGTCTCCCACATAGCAGGAGGTGGCGCCGAGGTGTATGATGGGTGCAGCCCGGGGGCACCTGGCTGCCAGGGTGTGCACGTGTGCCATGACGTCATGACGCACGCGCTTCTCGTGCTCCGCCGCTGCTGCGAAGTCGATATCATGGATAGCCGACTCCAATTCAGCGATCTGCTCATCAGTTATATCTAGACCCAGTTCCTGAAAGTTATAGAGGAAAATATTCTATTAATAAGCGTGATAGTAAGAAATTGTACCAGAGCCTCTATATAATAGGCATGGAGTCGTTAAAAAGAATAATTGTTTAGTTACCATATTACGCATAAATTTAAATATCTCTAGATATCTTCGAGGTAGCAAAGGTGTGCAGGCCTTAAAACATACATAAATACCACACCATCCACATCTCTGTACTACTTAACGCAGTGTACATCCAACTAATCTTTGAAACTATATCCTAATACCTGAATAACATCCAAATCTAAAAGAAAGTCGTAATAATTTTCTGAGAATATCATGAATCACAGGAAGTTCGTAAACTAGATCTAAATCATTCAAGTCTTTGTTAAATTCTCTATGAAAGTGTAAACGCCAACACCACAATGCAACCTGTCCCACTAATTCGCTGAAATAGATAAGATTAGAAACTCGCACGAACTGATAAAAACCAATGGTACTGATAAACCATATCAACCAGTGACTGGTTACCTCTTAACTAAAACGGACAAAAGGGACGAAGTGCTAAAACAAAAGACAGAGAAATCAAACAATTAGTGCTTGTTAACAAAGATTTAAGTGCAGAAAATAGTGATAATGGTGTCCGTTCAAACTATAGCCACTATTGTGGTGAAAGTATTTAAGATTGTAAGTAACTAAATATATCTAAACTCCTATCTGTCGCATTGATATACAAAATAAAGTATAAATTTGCAAGAGAGCTAAACAACATAAAGTTTGTATTTAACATTATCGAACATCCTGTATTATCCGTTAATGTCTACTACATATCGTCATCTCTTTCATTCTCTTTGGATAGAAAGAGATATCAGATCTGTTTTATAGTGGACGTATCAACTTACGGTAAACAAGAAAGTCAAAAAGGCAACACGTGGCAAATTAAGATAAATACATGGTGTGTGAAAAAAAATGCTTTTGAAAACCAAAAATCTTTAAGTTTGATTCGGGTTAATCATTTATTTGTAAAGTTATATTAATTAATGCTAATAATAAATATATTATTCACAGTTTATAGGTTACAGATAAATCATACAAGAACAATTATGAGCAATTTATTTTTATTAGTCATTATATTAACAAACAAAATTAAGTCATTTAATTTAATAGATCGGTTTTTCTCTTACACAAACCGATTTATACACTCCAACCCATATTTTGATTACATTTAAAACTAGCATTCGCTCGCGATTCCGTCCGCGTTTAATAAAACAAAAACCAAGTAGCTTATGTGTTCTTTCAGACTGTTCTCTACATCTATATATGCTAAAACTCTAACCAACATCCATCCATCTAAACTTTCGCATTTATAATATTAGTAAGTCATTTAAAAAACTTTACACCAGTGTGACGACAATAGAATCCCACCTTTAACACGAGAAACACTACGAGAGACGTCACATTGTACCTTCATAGATAAAGTTAGCGTCTATGGACAAACTATTCTCAGTTAATGAGTGTCCCAATTCGCTTGTTTTTGTACAGCCAGGTTATAAAAGTCGATGATAGTCCGTAGCGGCCTCGTTTCCTATCAGTATAGATAAGGCCGCGCCTTGTATTAGTTTTCTACCGTTCATTATATAGGTGTGGACTTATTCATTACCATCGATTAATTTAGATTCAAGTTTACTTTAGTTTTAAAAATTTGTCGACAATCTTGGATAGTAATGTGGGGAGATAGTAGGATATCATTGTAATAGTTCTGTGTGACATTACGATTTGCGTTTCTCATGACCTTAGGAAAAAAATAGAAGAAATTTAAACATATTCAAGTCTTATGAAACTAAATTTAAATCTAACAATAAAAAAAAAACACAAGTTCAAGTCACCAAATGTTCACCACAGATTTTGCATTAACGTTAGATAAAATTGAAGCTGCAGTACTTCTTATTAGTACAAAATTATGTAGAATAAATTACAACAGTCGTAATTCACACTCAATGTATGTACAAGTTGCAAAACAGTAGAGCTAATATGCTCTTATCTGATGATTTGAGAGTATTAGTCATGCCTCCCGCAAGGTACTAAGCTGGGACCGCAATACGACGTGACTAATGTGCGGTGAGTAACTCTAAATACTGGAAGCGAAATTTAACCTGTGGCCTACAACATCTCATATAATAGCCAATAATTTCAGTAAATTAGACATGACATAAAAAATCGTTAAGATTAGTCGTATATTTTGTTTTCGTGAAAAATGCAAGGTCTAAATGAGGTTTTATAAGTCTATTCCACATTAAATATACTTCTGACTATAGATATCTTTAAGCTTCATATTATTTGATATGTATACAATAAAATACGTACTCGTATAGTAAGATGTAGGTAGTCCCTTCTGTCTTAAGTATATAAAATACAATGATACCTTAGAGGCTGTGTACAAACAGCATTGCCTTCACCTTGAGGTAACTATTATGCACGTAGTTCAGACGTGACCGCTTTACGTTATATAATTGACCACTTTATGGTGATTCATAGCTAGGGATTTTTGCATCCCATAAATATAAACAGTTCTATATCTCAAATGAATCGTTATTTACAGCGCACACAGTTGACTAAACTATCGCACAACTGTTGCGCGATTGTCGATTGTTTTGCAGCCAATTCAACTGTTTAGTTGCACGACTAAAAATCGAGTAGTATGCGCACCTCCATATAAGCTCATAGGAATAAAGTGAGACTAAACATGCGATAGTTTAGTCAAACCCTCTTACGAAAACAATATCCTAATGAACATTGCTATTATAGAATAGAAGGAGTATGCAGTTAAATGTCTGAATGAATCGAGAATCAATTGATATGAAAATACAAGTAACTACTCTATGTAAATGCTTCACAATATATTTAGAGCTGTATAACTGTTATCGAGTACTGTCTATATGTGTTCTTTTATTCTGAATCGATGTTAAATCAGAAGACACGCTCTCTCCGACACCGAGCGAGGAAGTCATCAATGTATAATTGAATCCGAGCTTCCTGCGACCGTCGGCGGTAATTAAGTCGACGTTATGATTCCTACTGTAATTGTCAGCTGCCGGGTACAGACTACTGAATAACAGAGTGGCAATAAGTTTTGATTAAAGTATTTTGCAGTGGTTTACAGTTAATTTGTATGGCCATTACATATGAAGAGATGAATTAACTAAATAATAAAATACGGTTACATAGAATTTCAAGTTTTCTTCATTCTGTAAATTTTCACACTAGATTACGAAATTTTTGCTCATCTATACTATTATAATAAAGCGTAAACACACACTTTTTTGTTGCCTAAGATGTCAGCAATTACAGCATATTTTCGAATAATTCGTTTTTTAATAAAATACCCTAAACTTACGTCACGCTTTAGGCTATATGTTTTCACGCCATTAAACTTAGGGGGTAAATGTTTTCAATAAAAACCCTAATGTGAGAAAGAGACCATAAGTTGTTGCGAACATCAAGGAAGCAAGGTTGCCTCGATTTGTCATCATGTCATGTCATTTTTACATTTGCTATTAATAATTTGATAAACGTAAACAATAATATAAAATGTTCATAATTCTATGCGGATGAAGTCGCACGAGAACAGCTAGTATTTTATAATTATTTAATACATTCCTGTATGTACACAGGTTATTACTACTTCAGAGATAATACAACATTGTAGAATCATAAACGTTATTATTTTTAATGCAAGAGTAACGGTATTTAAATAATTAAATAGCGTAATTTTTGTATTGTAAAATGAAACTCGTGCTATTTCAAGGTTAAGCAACATCCAGTGAAAACGACAGTTCATTGCTGCAGCTAAATAGTTTCTATTCGAACTAATGACTCGTAGCAATGCTTATTTAATACATTGATTTAAATGCACATTAACTAATTCATTTAAACATACAATCTTTCATACTGTCGTAATCTGAATTCTATTAGATCCCTAAGGGATACTCTTAAAGTAATTTCTGTGTCAAATATACGACTGACTGGTGACAGCGTAATTTCACTGAGCGTCAGTAAAAATGCTACCAAAAATGTTAGGAATTTCTCCATGAAATGTCTACCAATTAGGTATCCTGTACTTACACGAAGAGTCATTTGGGTTTTGACTTCTGCCCCGACAGATGACTGTTATACCAATTGAATACAATGTCCGGGGCGCCGAATAAAATCGTTTCTTAGGAGCAACATTTCGACTCTGCTACGATCGACTGAAATCAACGATAATGTGTAGAAGAGCGTGGATGTCGCACTGTCTTCCTAGGAAATCGGAACAAAGTCTACATTAATAGCATATTAATAACAGCTAGCCTAGACCTAGTCTAGAGATCTAGGGTCTAAGATGCTGACAATATGATAATGCAAGTGTAATCTATACTAATATTATAAAGAAGAAAGATTTATATTTTTGTATCTATCGAAATAACTCATAAACTACTAGGCCGATTTTAAAAGTAACATAGACCATATTTTTTTTTATTTCACGCGGACAAGGACGAGCAATAGCTATGCCGAAATAAGTTACCATTGGCAGACGCGCACGTATAACATATGTATAAACCACAAGGTTTAACGATGTCTTTGTTGTTTTGTGTTGATCCATCATCAGTCATGTCAATGAGTACAGATGGCGGTCAAAATGCAACGAACCACAAAACCTAACGCGAGCCTGAATTAAATTGTGTACTTCTATTGTTTTACTAACAATGTTATCTAATACATATTATTACTGAACACAATATATTAAAATGTTATAACGATGCAAAAATTTTCAATTCAAAGAAATAATTAAGATTTGACTACGATCAATATAAATGTAGGAATTATAATTTTTTGCAAACTCATATTTAATCTTTACTTGTCTTGAATCGTTCGCTGTTAGTTTTATGTTTAAGGACCAATTTGTTGATGTTTTGTAGTTTTTTGTTCTTTACCATCGCTGAGAACATGGTCATTACATTAAAAACAAAACAAAAAAAGTTAACATTCTTACGTTTAATAAAGTTGTAATGAAACATTGGGCAACTACGATGATATTTGCATTAGTTCATATAGTCATTTCTTTTATTCTCCTTGAAAGAGACAAGGACAAAAACATAACAGTGTCGTACAACGTGTGACGGTATTACAAGTATACGTCTATTCAAATATCTTAACGGCTACGTTGCGCGCTGAACTGCGTTCCATCTATTTACACCTAACATGCTATGTGCATGGACTAGTCCAATCGAGCCGCTAAGATAATTGAAAACCTCTATATAAACAACAAACGTGAAGTAAATACATTTTCCAAAGATAAGTAAAAGCATGATATCATTAATTCTCGTCATCGATAACTTATCATTTGGTTTCTGTCAACAAATGGCAATTCCGATTGTATGAAGTCATACTTGAGAATGCACATCTTCAGGAATTTAATTATCAGATGGAAAACGGAGTTGTTTTCGAAATAGACTGTTAAAAACAGGATGTAGACATAAAGTTTCATGAGCAATCATTTTGAGAAAAGAAATTTAATTTTTTGATTGTTGATGGTAATTTAAATACAAAATGTCGCGTAAGAACTCAAAGAAAATAATTAAATGTCAGTGAAGAATCATCATCATCATCATCATCACCAGTTCACTATACGTCCCCACCGAGGGGTTCGGAGTGAAGAATACCTCACTTCAATAATAAGTTTTCAGTCTGTTTTCTAATTAACCAAGAGGAATATTTCTGACTTTTAGTAACCTCCGAAACACTGGTCTTGTCTAACTTTGGTCAGATCGGTTCCAACGTTTCTGCTTTAGAACGTACATGAATTTCTATATGTAACACCTTAAAAGTAAAAAAAACAATCATTGTTCATTTGTTTCATTGCCTTTATCTTTCAGGTGCTTAACATTGTAATCCTGGTACTCTACCGCACAGGCTACAATGGAGAGTTCCTCGGCGTTGGTGGCACCTGGAACCTCAACGAAGAGAAGAACCCTGATGCAGAAATCGTCGCTTCTGGTGTTATTGTCGGCTATCTCATTTACACGCTCGTTCAAGTCGTTACCTTCTTGTTTGGTACCACTGAGCATAAACGGTATGTTATTTATTGTCTTTATGTTTTAGTTATATTGATTTCTTTTGGTAAAATTAATTTGGTATTTCGGCAACCAATTAGAGAACATCGATCTGAGCAGCGAAATTTATTCCTTATTTTACACACATTAATTGACTCGATTCGAGTGCCACCGAAAAAATTAAATATGTATAAAACAATGTATAAAATTTTAATGATTACATAGTGAATGGTATGAAGTCCATTTATTCTAGTAAAGGGGGGGGGGGGAAATGAGCAGCGGATTGCCTAATGTTTGATCTGACAATGCAATGGACATGACAATGGACATCTACAACGCAAACGGACCAGAGTTGCTCGACACTAATCCAATGTCACATCAATATTGTGTTTCACAAATTCTAAGAAAGAATATTTTACTCATTCTCATTCATTCTTTTACATTTCAAGCTTCACAATTTCATAAAATATCTTGTGGTACTCTTTTCCAGTTTAATCATAATGTACCGTATATTTTCCAGTGCGTTGGGAGACATAGTGATGAACTTCGTGGGCGTGTTCCTGTGGATAGCTGTGGGCGCGGTAGCGCTGCACTACTGGGGCGGATACCAGGGCGAGCACCAGTTCCAATTCGTCTTCGCTGAGAGACAGGTTATTATATTTTAATACTTTTACAGTATACAGGACGACAATACAATTTGCTCGTTACGGTGGACAGATCACTGTCTATCAAGACTATCAAGTCTCGTATTCAATAAGCTTGAATGCTCAGTAAGATTCTGATTATATTCAAAGAGTAAAAATAAAACAGTTTGCAAGATTATGTAAGCCATCACGAATCGCGAAATCCTATAATGGGTGCAATCACCAATGATGGTAGTTGTGAAACCTATAAAGAATTATCGTTGTTTTATTTCTATTAATTTTACTTATAAAAACCTGAGGTCGCATTAGTCGTTAGCAGTCATTTTTCCCCCCCGAGGGTTTGGCTTTTGACCGATTAAAAACCTAAGTACGGATGTTAACCGTATTATTAATGTTTTCAGGTGGGCCTAGCGGTGGGCGCTCTCTGCGTGATACAAGGCGCAGTGTACTTACTAGATACGGTACTTGCAGTCATTCACTTCACCAAGGAAATGTAAACGCAAAACCATAGTTAACTTGATGTAGAGTTAAGTTTGTGCGTTGTTATAGTACAGTTACGAAGATATCACGATAGAAATTATAGAATATTTGTAATTAAATCGAGTATCTAATAATTATTATTTTTCTAAAATATTAATATATTAATTTATTGCGACATTATTTGATTTTAACGATGCCGATATTTAACGAACGACAGATTATAATTTTTTCACAGGTTAATTAATTCCCAGTGTATTTAACATTGAAAATAAAAAAAAAATGTTTAATTTAGTTATTTTTACAATTATATCTAAATACAGCTCTCGTTCATGAACACTTCTTTTCCCCACCTTTTTATTATAAGAAACAATATACTTTAAGTACTTTATTTTGGAATATTTTTTACTGTGAATGTTATTTTAAATTAAATACCTACCTAAGAAATGGAGTATTCATTTATGCACCTACCTATGTTTAAGAACTATAGGATAAAATTAAGAGTTTCTTTGATGGACTCACATAACTGAATTACAAGATTAGGGGTCAATGCAAGTGTCAAATTAGAGATGTCGGAGGTTAAACAACGATATCCTATGGGCTGGGACATCTCGATTACGATTCATTAGTGCTTTAGAATTTCAAATAGAAACTCCTTGCTCCTTGTTCACTGGCCGGTTAGAACGCTGCCAAAAAAAAAATAACTAAAAACTGTGTCTTTTTTTTCGACAGCTGACAGTGTTCTTTTTTTAAATTAATATTACCAGTTTTCAAAATTAGAATTAATCAGATTTTGTTTAATTAAAACTGGAGTGGCTGTATACAGGTAGCTTAGTAACGATATCGCCAATCTCGAAGGATTTCCTCTGCGAACTGGATATCTACGCCGTCACAATTGCTCCATTAACGGAAGACGTAAGTTTTACAATTTATCTGAACACAAACAACTGTTTGGTGTAATTCATATTGAGCTTTCTCAAAATTTCGATGACAAAATTAATCCATTGAGAAAAATGGTCTCGAGGCCTTTCACTAAGAGTTTGGTAGTGGAATTATGTTAATATTTTTATGATAATTATTTGAAGATCCTTATGTATTGATATCAATACATTATTGAGAGAAAAATCAAACCAAAATGTATGTAATTGTGGTTTAATTTTTTCTACATAACAATAAATCATACATCAATTTAACAAAGCAATAAATACAGTTTCGTGTTATTGAACGGGAAATAAATAGCAATTAATTAAATTTTCACGCATTTGAAGTGAATATCCTTCGTAAAATATACACTTATTCACAGTTTTCATGTTTAATTTTAACAAACGTAATAAAGGAAGCTATTACAGATATTGACTACTATTATTTAATAATAAAACTATGATACGATTTTAAATAACTAGCTGTTGCTTGCGACTACGTTCGCGTGGAATGAATAAATATTAATAAATATAGTCTAGCGTATACGACACAGTAGTAACGTAGCTTTTTAATGGCGAATGAATTTGAAATCAGTCCAGTAGTTTTTGAGTTATTCCGATACATACAAAAATACAAATCTCTATAATATCAGAGCGGGCACACACCTTTCACTAAACTATCGCACAACGGTTGTGCGACTGTTGATTGTTTCGCTGCTCATTCAACTGTATAGTTGCACTACTAAAAATCGAGTAGTATGCACACCTCATTAAAGCTCATAGGAATCAAAACGCGACTCATCAGTTTTGCGCTCTTAGTAGATACCTCTTGCTCACGAATGCCTGCTTGAAATTAAAAAATACACCTATGTTACTCCCTGATAAAGTAGCTTTTTAATGGTGAAAGAGTTTTTGAAATCGGCCCAGTAGTTTTTGAGTTATTTCACTACATAGAAAAATACCTTTCTCCTCTTTATACTATTAGTACTCGTATAGATAGATAAAATATTATTTCCCATTAAATAATGCAATATTCAATTCAATCATGTTTTTTATGTCATCATCAAAATGGTAACATTACCTCAGTTTTAAACAAGAACCTATTGTCGAGATATCCTTGCGCGTTTGCGACTATGGTGGTAATTACTTACATCGAACAATTGCCTCATACTTGTGTCCTTGTTGACCTGGACACCTTGTAGTTAAATAGTGTAATTACGAGTTCTTTATTTTATAAACTAGGACTGCGTAGAATAAAACTTAGAATGTTGGGATTGGGTTTACTTTTTTTAAATACTTAAGTCTTTATAGATACTACTAGCGTTTGCCCGGAACTCCGTCTGCGTGGAATAAAATAAAAGCAAGTAGCCAATGTGTTCTTCCAGACTATCCTCTACATCTATGCCAAATTTCATCCAAATCTGTTCAGCCGTTTAGGCTACAAACTTTAACAAACATCCATCCATCTAAACTTTCACATTTATAATATTAGTAAGACTAGGGGGTTTCTCGCGATTTCCGCGCTGAATTAAAGAAAAATAGTAAAACATAGCCTATGTTACTCAACGTTGACGTTGCTTATTAATGGTACAGGAATTTTTTAATCACCCCAGTAGTTTTAAGTTATTTCAATACATAAAAATACAAATCTTTCCTTTTTATTATATCAGTATAAAGTATAGAAATATATACACTTTTCCACGCAGCAAATCAATTTTAATAAAATAAGATAAAAATATTGTCAGGCGCGTATTTTTATAAGAACATCACTAACTTATGAATTGTAACTCTAGTGATGTTCCTCGTATCGACAATATGGAGTTAAAAGCCGGGTGTCCCGAATCATTCGCTATATGAACAAATTCAGTGCACATTCAGTACTTGTACAGATGGTGCTTTCAGAAATAACAACTATAGTAAATGCTTTACCATATTTTGCCCTAGTTATACTTGTGTGTACTTGCCTTATGCCTGCATTATTATATACACACGTTGTAAAACTTGGGTTACGATTTGTTTTAACAATAAATTTGTACATATATATTTCATCATCTCCCCTGCCTTATCCTACTCCCGTAGGGTCTTCGCACAGGGTTTTCGTCCTCCAAAGCACTCTATCAACCGTCATCTCAGCCATCACTCCCTTCTTGATCATGTCACTTATCACGCAATCCATCCATCTCTTTCTAGGTCTACCTCTACCGGTGTACCCCTCCACATTCATAACTAACGCGTCTTGTTACATGCGATTCATCCCTAATAATTTCTTACATATATTTCGTCAATGGAAACCCACGGTTAGAATATCATTCGAGTAGCCTAGTATGGGAAGTAACGGCGCAGTATACATCGAGGTGCTCTCACGTACAATGCATTTACTGTGACACGTACAGAGCCTACATTTGCATTAAAAATAGGTCGTAGACTTATAACTATCGATAAATATATTAACGCTTGCTAATATTTAAATATGGCGTTGGATTTCTAATCAATTTTCCTGATAAAATTAGATTCAGTTTATGAACTCCACCCTAATCATGCAAAAATTACTATCTTGTAGTATAGTTTATATCATGTTAGTTTATATCATGTAAATTCGTAATAAAATGGTATCTATTACAAACACGAGCATTTAAAGTTAATGAATTAAACAAATATATTTTTTCAAATACAAATATAACCTCTTCGAATTTCTCATCCGTTTACTGCTTTCGTATCGAAAAATGCATTTTATGGCAATTGTTTTTTTAAGACAAACTAATTGAATACATCTGCTAAGTAGGCCGAGAGATTTGTGTCAGTGTAAACAGGTCAAACGAATGTTTCAGAACGCACCCCGACCACTGACAGACAGTTGGCACCAAAACTGGCGACAACACGGCGGCCACGCCATTGGCGGGAGAAATGGATCAATCTTATTTTTTTCCTTAAGACATTGTGAAGGGGAATTTGAATCCTTCACACGACAATTTAGATACTGTATCAATAATTTTTATTACTGATTTCTTGAGAAAAATCATTATCAACTTGCCCTTATTCCTTCCGGGGGGTCGGCACAGTATGTGCTGCTCTTCCATACATCTTTATCAGCCATTATATCTGAATCCACTCCTTTCTTAAGCATATCCTCTTTCACACAATCCATCCATATTTTCTTCGGTCTTCCTCTTCCTTTGTAGCCATCCACATTCATTCTTAACACTTTCTGGTTTATGTCCCGATCGTCTCGTCGCATAACATATCCATACTACGCTAACCTTTTGCTTCTCGATTTCTCCACCACTGGCGCTACTTTTAAACTTCCTCTAATGTACACATTCTTAACTTTAACCATTCATGTCACACCACACATCCATCTTAACATAGACATCTCAGCCACATGCAATCTTGAGAAAAATATAGTAAAACAATTTTTTGGCAGAGACGAAGTTGACAGTTTTAACGTTGTAAGTCTGTTTGTACCAATAATATTTAACTTAATAGTTTTATCCAACTTTGTATCATGCGCTTTAAAAATAAACATATAGGTTTCGTGTCACGAAACCCTCAAAGTTCGTCATCAAAACTTGTTTCATAGGAATAATTCGATAACATGGTTCGTGCACAAAGCCTTATTGTTTTTCACTAACACGCCCTGAACGATCAAACGTGCATTTATACTGCATTATGTTTACGCACGAATAATGCAAATCAGGTTACAAAAAACATATAGAATTTTATTAATTGTTGTTCCGGAGAAACTCAAAATGATTGAAAATCTTTTTGACCGACTTCCCAAAAGAAGGAGGTACTCAATTCGTCTGTATGTTTTTATTTTTTTTTATGTGTGTTACGGCATAACTCCGCCGCTAGTGGACCGATTTTGATAATTCATTTTTTATCCAAAAGGTAGTGCTTGCAGGTGGGTCCCATTTTTTTGTTTGATTTTTGGACTCAAAGACTACGACGTAGTTAAATAGTTTAGCTCAAAATCGCGCGACGAAATTTCGGGTCATTTTTGCTTTCTTTGCTTACGTAGCCTAAACTATAAGACCTACATAAAAATGATGTATGGAAGAATTGTAGCCCTTTAAATTTGCAACATAAAAGTCCGCGATAGCATATATAAAATAAAATATCGCTCGAAATCTACACCCAACTTTCAACGCTATTACTCGTGTTCGGTATGAATCCTTATCCAAATAAATGAGTCTATCATCAAGAGAATTTAATGTAGATTATAAATGCCCTTGGAACTATATAATTCCGATCAATTGTTTAGGAGATATCATAAATTACAAATTACGAGTCGCAGAAAAAAATACAAACTTGTAACAAAGTTTGCTTTCTTGGCTTACGTAGCCTAAACTATAAGATGTACATAAAAATGATGTATGAAAAAATTGTAGCTCATTTAATAAGCTATATAAAAGTCCACGATAGCATATATCTATCTATTAAGGTTGTCGCACAATAACCGTTTGTTTCGCGAAAACCGTCAAATAAATGCAATCGACTTCATTTAAAACGCTTTTATTCTTATTTGGTATGAATCCTTATCCAAATAAATATGTTTTCACGATAGAGTATTAAATGTAGATCATAATTGCCCTTTACAGTATGTAATTCTGACCAATATTCTAAAAGTTATCAAAATATTAAAACTCACGGGCAACAGCGGCGCGCGGCTGGACAGAATTATGAGTGAATGATCGCAACGATGTATTAGATCTTTACTTAATTTCTTATACAATCGATTTAGATAACTCATTCTTTGTTTGAAAGCTAGTGATTATCATACTGCAATGTTTAGATTCACTAAAAATCAAGAAATAAATAAACTTTTTAATAAAAAAACAAAACCGACTTCCAAACAAAATACACTAAAAACAAAACAAAATGCACTAAAAACAAAAAACAAAATACACCAAAAACAATTATTATTACTTTGATGTCGGTGTCAGCCAAGGTATGCAGAGATATTTCTACGTAAGGGTTTCCACATTTTTACCATAACAATTGACAATTGAAAGTATAGTAACAATTAAGTAATGAATCTACATTGACTGACACCGACTTCAAAGTAAAAATAATTGTACAATATAGACATAACAGTTACAATAAGGTGGGTTTACTATTTTCAAGGAATTATTTCGTTACTTTTTAGTAAAAAAGTTTTTATTAAAAAGTTTATTTTTTAATTAATAAAAATTAATAATTAAAAAAAACATATCAATTAATATCACATTAGTTAATAAAGATTTAGAACTATTAAAAAAACATTTAGATCATGGCCGGTTTTTGGCATGACATAAAAAAGGCGCCCCTTTATTCGCTTGTGGCGCCCTTTTATTCGCTCGTGGCGCCCATTTATGTCCGGCGCCCAGGTCAGTCATACCATGCTTCATGTCTCTGTACCCTAACACCGGTACTGACAGGAGTTAAGATTTCTTTCCTTTTTAAATAAGGCCGAATATTGAACAGTTTGGTGGTACCAGAGTTAGCAAGAACTACACACTATATTTTAAATTTATGAATAAAAAGCTCTTCAGATTATGTGGTTTCGAATTAATTGTCCCATTACAACATTGTAATATTTGTTTCTTATCCAACTAGTAAAGGAATTACGGAGTTCATCAATCAAACTAGATGTTCCCTGCGACTTTGTCCACGCAATATTAAGACAAAAAAGTAACCTATAAAAAGACCGTATATGTCAGCTACCCTTCAGTGAAAGTTCGGTTGAAATCGGCTCACCCGTTTCGGAGATTACCCGGAATAAACGCGCCTTGCGGACAGACAGACAATAAAATTTTAAATGCGATTTTCGTTGCAACGCACATACATCATCTTTCCTAAATCTGAAATTTTTCTTTTGATATTACAAACAGACATTAATTTTATTATATGTATAGATGAGTAATACGAATCAAAACATAACAATCAATGAATCATTATGACCTAATTGCAGTTTCTATGGTGTGATGAATAATTTTACATGATTTTCAGCTGTATTTACATGTAAAAACGTCAATGAGGACAAAGTTTACATATTACAGGTTTATTCCCTGAATATGACGTAGAAAGATATAAATACAGGGAAAATTAGCAATATTTCCACGCATTAAAATAACTTCAGCGGGCAAAAGGTTACTTTCCTCTTAATATAAGAAGGGAACACGTGAAATTTTAGTCTTCCTCTGTCCACCATTTTCTTTAAAGAAAGCATAAGTCATTCCCCTATACAGGAAAGGTCCAATTCCCTTTAGAGGAAAAATATTATAAGATAGGTCGCTAAAGATTAAAATATAAATATCGAACGATAAGTTGACATGATTACCGTAGACCACTGCATTATGTACAAACACATATTGTCATCCGTTTCATACCATTTAAAAAAATAAGTGATAGCAATATGTTTTTGTACAGGTGCTTCTGCAGTGGAATCCCACAGTTACGGAAGTGACGTCAGAAAAGAATTGCCAAACGACAATCTATTGGGAACTGGACGAAGCGATGGTAATGAGATTTTTAATCAAAACTATTCCTGTTAAATTAACGTAAAAATGAGATATCTGTACTGTTATAGTTTTTTTGTATGTATTTATATAACTCAAAAACTACTGGCCAATTTAAAAAAAAAATTTACAATTAAAAAGCTACGGTATCACAGAGTAACATAGTTTTTTTTTTAATGTCACGAAGACGAAGTTAACAGCCAGTTTTATAGTATACTTATAATAGACGAAGTATCAATCGTGCGTGCGCATACGCCCGTTTGTATGCAGTTATGCGCTGGCTTATAGACCGGAAAACGCTAGAAAGTGACTTTTCAATTTTCGAATAGCTACATAAACAATTGAACAGTTGCAATGAAGATTTAACATTCTATTCAGGGAGAAATATGCTACAAAACGATAACTTAGAGTACTATTATTTTATTTAGTATATATTAGAAAACTATTATTATAAAGTAAACACACACTTCTTTGTTGCCTAAAATGTCAGCAATAACTGGATATTTTTGAATATTTCTTTTTTTAATATAAAGCCGTACACTTACGTCACGCTTTAGGCTATATATTTTCACGCCGTTAAACTTAGGGGGGTAATTTTTTTTGGATAAAAACCCTTATGTAGGAAATAGACCATGTATTGCTGTCAACATCATGGAAGCAAGGTTGTCATCATATCACATCATTTTGACATTTGTAAGTGATAATTTGACAGATGTAAACAATAAAATAAAATTTTCATAATTTCATGCGGATGAAGCCGCACGGGAACAGCTAGTAAATTATAAGAAAAGAGCAACAATTACGTGACAATAAGAAAATTTTAAATAGTTATTTCAACACTTCTATTATTGCTAATATCATTGTTTTGTTATACACGTGTTAATATTGTTCCTTATTATATGATAATGGTAAACGTGTTAATACTATGCAAACATTTCTTATTTTAGAGAGGTCATAAACAAATAATAAAAAATTACAACATTTTTAGATACATTTTGTGGGAGCCTTGGCACCTGAACTAGGTCGCTATGTGCTTAAATGTTACCTATTGTGTCTATATTTTTGACCGACTTCCCAAAAGAAGGAGGTACTCACTTCGTCTGTATGTTTTTTTTTATGTATGTTACGGCATAATATGGTTAACGGACTACTTAGTTACAGCTTTAAACCAATGAAAACGTCATCTATACTTTTTATTTAAAAAAACTCTTGTAATTTTTTTTTTGTATCAAAATATCAAATCCATCCAAAACGCTAACTAAATGTTCAGTACTACGTACCTCTCCACAGTAAATGTATTTAATTAAATCGATCTTCTAGAATGTTTACTACGTACAACTGTTGTACTCCAGTCTTGACCAGTTAAAATTGACACCCCGTGACGCCCATTGGGTTAGACAATGAGCTGTCGTAAGGAAAGATATAGGATACATCAGGGATCAAGTTGTTTTGTTCGGTAAGTCATTGAGGTGCGCCGATGGCGGCAAAATGTCAGTCGCTCAGTAAACTTCGTTGACAGAGGTCGCGTCCATAATTAAGCTCCTATACTACGCGTCGCAAATTATAATTAAAATATTAGTGATTTTTAATATAATAGTGTAACTTTGAAGTGGATTACTTCGCCCCAAACAAGACTTTTTAATTTTTGGTAAGATATTTTTTTAATTTTTATTACTAAGAAATAAATATTTACCAAATTAACAATTTAAATTGAGAAAAAATTAACGAATCCAAGTCCTTCCAGTTCTGAAATTAAAACCACGGTTATAAAAAACACAAACAGCCCACAAAAACAAATGTAATAATCGGTGATAGCTAAATAACTTATTCCCGGGTTTATTAGTGTCCTATTATGTAACTTAAGTTAATCACACTTAGTACAAAATGAAAAACATTTAGGGACTGGTAAACACATCAAACCATGCAAACACATCTGTGAAAATATTTAACCTTACAAATAAATAAAATCGATATCGAGCGTTTCCAGTAACTACGTATTAATAATTGGTTTAAAAGCTTCTAAAAGTCTATGATAATAAAATAACTGAAGAATTGTTGCATTTAAATAATTTTATTTTGAATTGGCAGTCTTTATAAATGTCTTGAGGAAACAAGATATTCTACGTGTTTCCCTTGAAGACTGGCATTGTTTGAAGTAATTTGATCTGTTACCAACAGAATCATCTTTCAAAACCTTAATGTATAATAAATACTACGTTCAATAGAACTTATTTTATCTAACTTAGCATATGGGACATGCTAAACGGATAGACTCAAGTTCGAAGTAATCAATTCATCGATTCATCATGAGCTATTCTCATAGAAAGTATATTAACTGAATCTTATACTTTATGTTTCTTGTACAAGTGTTTTACTCTGGGTTACATGGGTTTAACAATTCAAGGACCAACATAAATAGACCAATGAACCTTTCTCATCATCAGCTTACTATATATCCCCACTCAGTAGCGCGGAGCCTACCAGTTATGGTGACTAGACCATCAACCACGCTGGCTCAGTGCGAGATGACTTCACATATATCTTCGAATACCTTCGCTGATACAGGTTGCATCATGTTTTCCTTCACTGTAACAACGTCGGGTAAATTGTGTGAAATCCGAAAAATGGAAATCACATTGGACATGACGATTCGAACCCAAGACCAGTGGATTACGAGTCAAGTGCTCAACCACTGAGCTATTGGTGCCCTTACCATATGAACCCTTTAAATAAATTATATTGTTCTCAATAAAATCCTCGCCAACATACTTTGAAAGTTCTGTCAAAAGTTTATTTGGTCTTCTATCCTGGGTTAAGTTTCCCAACTTCAACGCATGTAGGGAGAGATTTTTTTACGCGGTTTCTATAGTTAATGTTATACTAACAAGTGGTAGTGGGCGAGCCGCTTGTTTTTGTCCAACAATCCGGTGGGTATTGGAAAGTGCGGGTGCGTGCGTTCCGTACGAACGATTGGCATGCGTTATGCGCATCGCGATTTTACTTCATTATGTAAAAAAATGTGCATTATGCATTGATTTATATTGTATTATGTTTTCTACTCTGATAGCATTTCGAAGGTTTATTATTACCAACATATGTAGAAAATGCATATGCATCAAAAAAACGACAAAAATACACGTAAATGCAATGTGGATACCTACAAAAATTCTATAGGAATTTTCCAGAAATTACGGAAGCTTTTCAATTGGATATCGTTTTTTATTGTTTCCGTAATACATTTTAAAACAAAAGCTATACAGCTTGTACGACCAATAAAATATTGTTATCTAATTACTCCAATTTCTTGTCGTGAGTCGTGATAGATTTATTTTACGCTATGATTTATAGTTTTCATAAACTAAGTGTTAGATGAAAAATTTCATTTCCTTACAGTAAATGCACAAAACACCATTATATCTGTATCTATAGTTTTTGTTATAATTTGTCGACAGTAACTTACTGCGCGTTAACATGTAACCGGTTGTTTAACTTGTTGCACTTTATGTTCTATAGATCGAAACTTGAACAAAACAAGACTTTAAGAAAACAATGTTATGTTATGTTTATGTCGATTTTTATATTATGAAATATACAAAAAAAACCATCTAGATAGTCTTAGATGAAGAGCTATTCGACACCTAAATTACTTGTATGAAAATGAACGAACAATTATCTATACAATACTCTGTATTCTGTAAAGAAGTGTTACTTCTTCCATTAAGTTGGCTAGTTTAGAAGTAGAGAAGAGCTTCATCTCTTCTGTGCATCTCTCAATCCGGTATAGAACACTATTGCCCTTAATCCTAAGGTTGAATATTCCAAATCGATCTCTAATATAAGTTGTTTATAGGTGTCGGAGTTCGGTGGCGGCGCGCGCGTGGTGTGGGCCATGTCTGCGGGCGACAGGGAAGCGGAGGCTCAGGCCAAGAAGGGAGAGGAAGGCGACAGCAATGAGCGAGACAGTCGCGCAGCAGCCGCCCTTAAGCGTAACTGGTGTATTGGATTGAGGGTCACTGAAATGGTAAGTTACATAGTTCTTTTTCTTGATTTGATTTGGACCCTTGTTCCTACAAGACGGGCCTAGAGCCTGGTGTAGGGAACTGGCGTTCGACCACAATTGTGTTAAAACAAAGTTTGTAACTTTATAAATAGATATTTAAAAAGATATTCAAATTTAAGGAAGAAGACTGTAATATGAGCGTTGAAATCTCTTAAAGGTAATTCAATACTTCATGAATCTCCAAGAATGAATTTTACCAAAAGCCTTGTGATTAAAGTTTCTCAGTTTGATAAAAGATGCATTAATCAATAAAATGAAAAATAGTTTTAGGTTTCAGAGAAAGCTTTGAAATCATGAGCTTTAACAAATAAACTTAACGCATTATGTAGTCACATTTCTCGCGTCAATGTACATTTAAATAGTGAAAACGTTAACAAAACACAAAAGACCGCCTTTCTCTTATAATAATTTGCGTTACTTGTCAAACATCACTTTTTTTTTCTCAATCGTATACACAATTTGTCATGGCTGTCGGCAACTTTTCCGCGGTATTGTAACATCGTTTTAAACCGGCTGTTTTATATTTTTTTTTCAAATTATCAATATCGATAGTGAAATTCAGAATAAAAACGCCATTACAGTTTTTTTATATATTGTAGAGCAGTTAAGAAAGACATCGAGGTAACGGATAAAGCATGAGGGTTTTTTGGAGTCTCTGGGTGGCGGAGGTTGACAGCTAGATTTTTTTTTATAATATAAGTTGGCAAACGAGCAAGGGGCCGACTGAATCCATCGAAATGGAAAGCGACCACTGCCCATAAACATCTGCAATGGCAGACGCGTTGCCTAGCCTTAATTGACGGAGTAGAAAACGCACATAAAGAGGACATTTCTCCTTCCTATGCGTCCCCTCCACCGTCAAATCCACTTTTCCTTTCCATCCTTTCCTCTTAAGAAAAGGGTGGAAGGGGAAAGGGACTAAAATTAGGCCTCCAGCACTACACTCATCAGACGAAACGCGGAATTGTTTCCACTTCACGCCAGTTTTCTGTGTCGTGGTGGGTGAAGATCTAGCCTAGATCATCATCTAACGACGCCATTGGGATAGAATATAAATTACGATTATAGTCTGTGTCAATCTTCTCTAAACATTTTGCGATAGTCTACACACAGACCACCAATAAGAGACTCTGATGTTAATCCAAACATAATAATATGCCATCTATATTTGAAGTTGTGTAAAGAATTTATTATTGTATTTCCTCATTTATTGGTAATCTTTAATTGTGCATCATAACTGTAACGTGATCGGGTTAATATAACGCGATTACGGCCTCAATAGAATGCTATGATCTTCACACATCTGAATACAATAACAGAACAATGAAAAAACACTACAGGAACAAACACACATTTGTTTATTATTTATGTTTAGAAATATGCTTAGAATTTTATCAGTAAGTTATGCCTATATAGCCAATTAGAGCATTGTTGGCTCAGAGGTTAAAGCACCTGACTTGTAAACTAAATTTTTGGACTTCGAATCCCGTCATGTACCGAGGTGATTTTTGCTTTTTCAAATTTTATATGTACATAATTTAACTGACATTCTTAGTCACTTCGAACTTAGGGTAGACTCTAAGTCCCTTAGTGTGGACGTATAGTGACTTAATGATGACATTATTAATTAAAATAGAGTACAGTTAAGCACTCTATTAATGCTGTTATTAAATTATTATGATGTTAATGCTTGGAAAAGATAATTAAATGTTGATTGTCCATTATGTTAGTGCGTTGTTCGAGTTTAGAAATCTATTTCTTGTCTGAGAAAGTCGCTTACTTGTCACATTAAGAGTAAGCACGTCCGATAAACGAGATAAATCTCTTATGGTGAAAGTGTCGCATAAGAAAGCAATTCAATTATTATAAGTAACTTTTGTTGTAAAATTGTATTAACAGGACACAACATAACATTGTTCATGTTGATTTTTTTTTGTTTCAGATATTATCAGTGATCGCAATCGGTCTGATCGTAGGTGCTCTGTACTCGCCGCAAGTCGTACAGTCCGACCATAGACACATCGCACTCATCTTTTCATCTTATTCCAGTAAGTGTCAAAGATTAAACATTCAAAACTTTTATTTCCAGTGATTTACTCTATGACCATATGTGCTTGTGACGTAATATTCTACCTCAAGCAATTATTGTCTATTCTATACACTTTAAAACGTAAGCTTTATAAAACAATTAAAATACGTTTTGTCTCTGGATGCAGTTGACTAAGAAAGACCATGACCCAATTGTTACAACAGATTATGTTCTAATCTTTCAATTTACTGGCAATTATTTGTCGATTGTACTAATTCACGCTTGACTTGTTACCGCCAAATGTTGTAAGAGATTAAAAAGGACATATCTCTTCGTAATTTTATAGGAATAGACAATGTGCCTGTGTGAGATGTTTGTTGCAACAATTATTACGTAAACTTTAATTGGCACGTTGGAAACAAGAATACTCTTATGCCCGAAGTGTCAACTCAAGCGCTGTCTTTCATTAGTTACGCAGGTTTTTGCTAATTACCACCTAATGTAGTGTATCTCCTGACAAGTAATAATTAAACTGAGACAATTGACGGTCGTTTACCTCCAAACTTAATTGAATAAATAAAAAAAAGGAACAAGTAAAAAACTAGGCTCAACTTGTTGGGAACAAAAGAGCAATTAATCTCAATGAATTTGCTATTTTAAGAATCTTGTATTAATTTGAAAATGTCATTTTAAAAATATACAATGTCAAGAAGTGACCATACCCACTAACGGAAAATCGATTTCCTCGAAGTTTGAAATCTCGTGAAAGTACAAGCCATTCATCAATTATAGCAATTTCCTACAGCATGGTACAGTGCTGCAGTCAACTTTCCTACCGGGACGGATAAATTTGACGCACTATACTGATACTTGAACCCATAAACTATAAGAATAAATTTGTACACAGGTTACATTATTATTACTGGGGTGCTGATCATCGCGCGACTGCTGGGAGAGTCTGCGGGCTGGAGGACGTCCATTGGCTTTTCCATAATGGGCTTCATTATGTTTACTGCCGCCGCTGCTGTTATATTCTATGGTAAGTTTTTTTAATAAAATGGTAAACGTTAACGAGCGGCGGGACCACCGAGGTGGTTAACGACGCCCATCGACATCCGCAACATCACAGACATTTGAGTAAATGATAGGCTCGCTTCTGAAAGGACCCTAAGTCATATTGATTTGGAAATACCAGACTGTTCCACATCGCGGCCGTACGTGTCAGAAACTTCTACGAAAACCGTTATTTTTATTTGTTTCTGTCCATTTACGTATGCTATTAAATGAAACGAAAGATATCTCAGTCGTCCGAAACAGTCCTTTCGTAAACTCATTATTTTAAAAATCGGTTTATCGATTGTCAACTGTTTATGCAACCTACAATCTAACTACTTACTTGTATTGTCTTTGTTATGTATTTTGTATGTAGTAGTTTAATCGTTTATGATTATGGTCACGAAATAATTTAATTTAACCTTGGTATGATCACTAAAATATTAATTCGATTACGTTTTAACTATTCAAATAATTGGCATACAATAGGGAAGTCTAAACTATAGACTTCCTTAACTAGATGTATAGTTCGGGATTAAAATAACGACGGATTGCGACTCAAACACTAAAGTTTATTTAAGATTTCGTTGATAAGTTACTCTAATAAAAAAAAGGGAAGGAAACAAAAGAAATATACTACGGTATGGTATTAGAAAAAAATGCGTGGGAAAGGAATCATAAACTAAAAGCTGCCAACATTAAGAAAGCAAGGTTATTATGATACCGGTAATTTTGACAATTTGACAAATGTAAACAATAAAATAAAGTTTTCGTAATTACATGCGGATGAATCTGCTCGGGAAGGGCTAGTAGTTAATAACTTCGTTGTATTTTTACTTCCTAAAATCAACATGGAAGTAATCTCTCAGTGAAATGAATTGAAACGTCCTTTACTAGTTCACTGAGTTTAAAAAGTGTTTGAACACAATGAAGTAAATTACGATACAAAATATAACCAGAAGGTTTACCCTTTTAAATTAATAAATAGAGCGTAAAGAAAATTCCCATTGATGGTGATTTTTTTGTTTGTAAAATTCCAAGTACTTTTAATTTTTATTTAATTCCAATACTAATATACATAAATTTTATAGCATCTTGTTTAGTACTTTTAGCTCTACTATTGTGATACCGTCTCTAGAACGTTCGGAACTGATTTGTCACTGCCTTGAAGAGGCACACCTTCACCGCACTTGAGGTGGCCAAGCGCAGAAGGCGCTTAGCCTAAACGTCGACGCAATATTAAGTTGAGCCTACCCTAATTAAAGTTACTAGGCTAGTCAGAAATAAATGTACATATGGAAGTCAAAAATCGTAAACATGCACATAAAGAGGATTGAATCTGGACGATTTTGATCCGATCCGACCAACCTTTTTAACTACTCTTCAGCCTTATTATACTTTAATTGGCTTGTAATTAGTTACGTTTTAACTACAAGAATTTTAAATTAATAATTCATTTGAGTGAACCAACTCATCCGTACCAATATATCATTTTCCCGCCAAAATATTGACGTTACGAATGTTAAATAACCAGCTATAACCGGTTATTAACGTGTTAGGAATGCACTGATTAAATAAACGGTTATAACATATGTCGTAAGTACACAGGAAAAGCAAGTTTCTTCAATTAGATTGGATAAGATAAACGAATTTCACATACATTTGTTTACATTCAATAAGCGCATAGTATACGGTTGGAATGTAGTCGAATTCAATGGAAGACACCTATGTAAAGAAAATTACCTAAATAAGGCTGTATTTACTTATTAAAAACAGCCTTTTATATATTGTATTTGTTGTTCAAAATCTTTTCAAAATCAATCCATAGACTATAAATGCCATTGTTAAGCAATAAAATGTATAAATATAATTTCTCGTGTCCATTGAAATCGATTAATAAAAGGCAAAAGAAAAAACTGAATAACGCGACGTAAAATCGATTAGATTTAAACATAAGTGAAGTAAATGGTCATATTGACCATACGTTATGTACAGTAAAGTTCAGAATAAAGTTATATTCATTGAATTTTAGGTATATCGTTATCTCACTTTATTCAAAGGGAATGGGAGGGATAGCAATGAAACATTTTTATGCCACTGACAATATTCTTTTTTTTCAGATTGGCACAGATCTTATTACGCGAACCTCCGTCCCAACAAGGAAGCCTACGATCTACTGATCTCTTCTGGCGTATTCTCCATTATAAACGCCGCGGTTTTCCTTGTTCACATTTTCTTGACTTTCAAGAAAGAAGCTGATTATTAGGAATAAGTGATTTAAAAATAAGTAACGTTAAGTTTTTGTTTATAATTTAACTACGGAATCAAAGATAGGATATTTTTATGCATATATCACTTTTATTTACGCCCAAAGTAATATTCAAATTTTATTATTTAATAATAATAGATATATAATTAAGTAATAGTTTTGTATGCTTAGAGTTTAAGTAAAACGTTGTCCTCTTGTCGTAGCTAAAAGAAACTTGGGTAGCAAATAACAGTTATCGATGTTGCAGCTAAATAAAAACGTAATTATTTCTATATACTTTTTCGGCCGAGGAAGTGCAAGCTTTATTAATTATATAAAGATATAGTAAAGGTAAGTACATAATTTAGATGTAAGATATAAATAAGTTTTTTTTTTAACATTACTAATGGATTTAATACAATCTTTTGTTTACTTTAACTATTGTATATTATTTACTATACTATCACATTCCGTCAATATATGACAATTTTAATTAGTGGTATTATCTATATTAACGAAATAAACCACCGTCGAACTAACTTATATTAGATTTTCTTACGAGAGTTGGAAGATTGACTGTCTTTTGTTTTTCATTTTTTATTCCTTTGTTGTGACGTCATAAATTAAAGGCCAGGTTTCTTGTATGTAGCCTTCTAAAACTATGACGAAAAATTCTCAAAAAGAAATCTCTTTAAAACTCACATTTAATTCCAAGGAAACGTAATATCCAATTGTGTTTAAAATGACGCCTATCAGTATTGCTTTTTTAATTTTGTTTTTAAATCTTTTGAACATTTACTGTGTTTATTCTCCTTTCATGTTTATTTAACTTTTTAATTTTTAAGCATTATATGGTAAAAGGGAGAACCAAAGCAGTAATCAGTATCCGTCCAATTTGTAGTTAAGTTTATTTTTATTATTATTATTATCATTTTACTATTAAATTGCAAAATTACAATATATTTACTTGCCAATGTAAATTCTAGGTCCGTTGAAAAAAGCCTCTAATTGTTAAAAGTATGATTTTTATGTCGGTTTTCATTTCAACGTAAACATTGGTAGGTTTTGGTAGGATATTTTTCATCATATTTAAATGTAATCTTAATTAATGTTAGTAATTACAATTGTCTAAGTTTGTTTAATTTTAAGAAATATTGTAACGTTAGAAAAGCTATTAAGCAATTAATAAAATAAAATAAAACGTGTTCTTTTTTCAAAAAATAAACGATTTCCATTTTTGTTATTTAAATAACGAATAATTGTTATTCTGTGGATTTGGTTTGTTTTTTTTAGAATGTAGCCAGTTTTGTTTAATAGCTTTAACTTTAATAATAATTAAATATAAAAAATGTAATTCGGCGCTAATGTTACCTTTATGTTATTTGCAATCATTATAAGGAAAAGGTACCCGCGTCTAAACGTAATATGTATTTTGCACAAACACACGTAAATTATATGATAAACTTATGTACATATGTAATCTCTCGTATTATTAAATAAAAAACAGTAAAATCGCGTTTCATTTTTATACTAAAAGTATAATCTATGTTTCTTCTTGCCACTATTAAAATAATACAGAAATTAAAAAAAAACTTTAAGAAATTACTCGTCATAAAAAAACTAATAGTCCACTAATTTTCGTGCAATCTATTTATAGCCATTAGATATGTGTCAATCTCCTCTAAAATGGTTCAAGAGATCCGCTCACCTAGTTTTGAACTGTTGAGCTGGGGCTCAACGACTAAATCAGCAGCTCACCGACGCGATATACTATAACTATAACTATGGGAGTTGAGAAACCAAAACTGTCCGGTGATTCGCAGCTCACAGTTAGTGTTATAGGTAAATATACTTAATTCCTATTTCATAATACATTCAAATTTACTAGATGATTGTAGTTACCATATCTGTAATGTAATTAGTAAGCACTAGCTTTAGAAATACTAGTAAAAAATCTCTGCTTCAATATAACGCATACGTCTTAAAAACTAACCTCAAATGTTTGATAAATTAACATTTGAGATTGTTTATAAAAACGAGAAAGCTAACAAAATAGGCCTTACCTTTTCAGCTTTCGCCAGATAGATCCATAACTTTCGCCAAGTAGAAAATTTCTTTTGATCACTAAAATTGTATTGCATTTCTTTAGAAGCATATCGGGTGCTAAGCGGTGACCGGTAATTGCAAAATTCAGATTTTTGAATTTCAATTGGAGCGTCGATTGAAAACATTTTAACTCAACAAAACCTTCAAACACAAGTTAACAAATCAAATGAACAATTGTAAGAGGTTGTTTATAACATCTGTTCTGTTTTGATGTTGACTTTTGACAAACAAATCGGATGGGGTTGTCAGTACATTAAATTTTACAAAAAATGTGAAACAATTAAAAAAAATTAACACTTGTCCTAAAATAAAGACGATTTCATAATACTCTCCTTTTGACTTCATAAAGAATACTGACTCTATATTAACCTTAAGACAGATATAAAACGTGTTGATTAAAATACGAGATTGAATTTAGGATGTATACTTTGATGTAGGGTAAATAACTATCACTTACTGGCAACTCTAGAAGTCAAGGTAGGTCAGGGCGGGTAATTTAGTTTTGATAACAAGGTTATCTGACTAAAATGATGAAACTTGTAATTTATTCTCTTTTAATATGCTAAAGCGTTATAGAAATACTTGAAAATTATATGAGAGTGAGTTTAAATATTAATTAAGTAAAATTGTTCAAAATAAGTTCAAATTATTGTAATTCTTACAAACACATATGACAGCACTCTTTACAGCGTGATAAATGATGCAATCTGATTATTCCAATTGGTAGTAAACAAAATTGATTTATCTAGAAGTATTTTTATAAAATTATTACATCAGTTTTGTATTCATTAATACAGTTTTGTATGATAAATAATTGAATATTTCAAGGAAAAAAAAAAGATTTTATACGTAAACTCTTTATTTACAACATTTCATATAGTACATACATAAATATACCAGTCTTTAAGACATATATAGCCAATCTTACTTAAATTCGCCTACATCTTAACATGTTCAGTTTGATTTGTAATATTTGCATTATAATATTTAATAGCATAGTTTCAAGTTTGAGTAGACATAATAAATGTAAAAAAAGTATGTTAACAGAATTTTTAAGTGCTTGATTATTAAAAGTACCGGAAAAGAGAACAAAAGGTTAAGATAAAGAACATAAATATCCCTTGCCCACCAAATGTATGGAGAAGATTGTCCATACATTTGACAAATGTCATTTTCTAATTAGATTGTGTATACAACCATTTATTATATATTTACTGGCAGTCTTACTTGATAAAAAAAAATATATATTTAGAATTTCAACACATTTTTTTCCTTTGACTTGATTTTTTATTGTCTTAATTTTTATAGGTCACTTAATATATTGGACTTTTTTAATCTTTTTTTTCATCAAAATGCTGGACATCTATAAAATATGTTCTGTATTGCACTATTTCGAAAATGACCAATCTATGAATTAAACCTTATTCTTTAATGATTTCATCATTTTTTCTAGCTTCATAGCTTTTTGTAGATCTCCGCTGATTTTTAGTTTGCCCATCATGAATGCGGTTGTTGGTTTCAATTTACCTGTGAAATACAAATATTCATAATTATTGTCACTGATCAATGATAAATCATAAAAAAATTATGATAGCTGTAAAAAAGTTTTTGATATCTTAATAGGATCAAAAGTTAAAGAAATTTACAAAATTATACTTTAAAATTAAAATATTAAAAAAAAACGAAACATGCACTAATTGAGGTGTTTCATTGGTTTTTTTTTAATACAAACCCGCAAACATTTCAGCGAAATTAGTGCTGTCCATTGTCAATGTGGCATCCGGTGGGTTTTTAGGCTCACCCTGACCGCAGGCGCCCTCGCCGTTCTTCAGATCTATGTGCCATACGCCTTCCTCCTTACCTATACGATATAACCGTAGGTTAACATAAAACTTACCTTACCGTGATATTCAAAGATAATATATTGGCCATATCTCCGGAAACAGTTAACTGGTTCAGGAGACAGAGCCTTGATTATTGTAAAAAATTGTTCTAGGGCCAATAAGGACTTTCCTAAATTTTTACAATGTGTTTGTAAGTTGTAGTTTTTTCGACAGTGAAAACCAATAATTTACCCGTTTGCAGAATGAAATTACCAATAGAAGTCATTCTTTATTCAAATGCCCATTGAATACTTTTCTTCTAAAGAAAATTACAGTAATCTTTGAATAGAATTTAAAGAGCGTGCGCACAACTGAAACTAAACTATAGCACAACTGTTTAGTTTGATTCCTATGAGGTTATATAAGTGCGCACACTACTCGATTCTTAGTTGTGCAACTAAACAGTTGAAGGCTGCGAACAATCGACAATCGCACAACAGTTGTGCGATAGTTTAGTCAAAGGTGTGCGCCTCTAAGAATCGTTTGGTTTGGTTAATTTGGTTCAGTTAGAACCCAGTCTCTATAATCTTACCTTTAACATTAAACTGATATATAGCTTGCGTTTTCTTCACCAATTCTGGTGTTATCACTTTACTGATGGAACCGAATAAAGTCGGTATTTGACCCTCTGGTTCACTCTGTAACACACTTGCATTAGAAACCGCAATTATAAAATTATATTTATTGATTATACGAATAAAAGAATAAAACTAACGGCCGATTATTGAAACGACATTTAAATAATAAGGCTACACTTAAACTGCAAATTCCATTTACATTTTGAAATGTCAAAAAGTTTATAAGAAACGTTTCAGTAAACGGCCGTAAATAATGCATTAAGATTTAATATATAGTAACTAAAAGTAATTCAATGTAAAATTTTTACAATACAATTTTACTAAAAACTACTAAAGGCTCTAAATGGAAGTGTGGAAAGTATTTGTTTATAATAAAATTATTTTCTATGGCAACACTGATGCGAAAATATTACGATATCTTAAGTGATATTTTTAATGCATCGTATCGTGATAAAATTAGATAAATTTAATAAGTGTGAAGTCATCGTTATAAGGAGCTGTGTTTTTATCTGTTTTATTGTTTTTTATCGATATAATCCCAATTTACATTCGGTAGGTTATTTTGGTAACATTAGAAAAAACATGCAAACATGCAAAATTAAATTTTAAATAAATAACTTTTTCCCACATAGTAAAAGCAAAAAATCCTGAATGACAAAATGTAGAAAGGGACAGGTTTTTCAAAGAAATCATCTAATTTATTTACTCACATCAGAATTTTAGAAGTGTATATGACCATATACCTTTACAGACCCAAGAAACTATTACCAAAATGCTTACATAATAAACCAATAAAATACATATATAAAACATTCACAGAGGTTAGTAAAAAAAGAATAAGTGGTCATTGATATGTTTTATTTAAATCACACCTTTTTCACTTGCTGTTTGCTTTCGCCGGGCACTTCCAAAAAGAAGTCTGGCATGAGATTATCTACATTACCTGCGAACAAACATTGCCAATTTTGAACTTTATCTCAATTATCTTAGAATTCAATTTCGCGAAACATTTGACAAGATTTTGGTAAAAATTTCGAATTTTGCTTTCAACTTTTGTAAAGGAAACTGGTGTAAAATAATGTAAATAAATACTCAGATTGTTTATAGGTTTTTTTAGAACACTACATTAGTAAGTAAGGCTTTACTTAATTTAGTAGTGCTATATTACCCTAGAAATACATAAAATTCCACAATTTGGTTTTCGCAGTTTGAAAAGATTTTAATACTCACCTATAATTAATATTTTTATCTATGTGTACTCATATTTACTCAACAATATAATCAAGGACCACTTATTCAAGTAAATTATATAAATGTTAACTAAAGTGTACTTTTTTTCAATCCATTAAGTTAAATTATCACAGATAATTTTCCCGTCCGCTTATTAGTGTTTAATCAGATATTTCCTTTACTGAAATTCAGGTTTTTATCAAAATAATTATCGCTATATATTTTATTTAACAAATACTTTCCATTCCAATTAGTAAAATTAGAAGGTCTCAGTGGCGGCATAAAAGTAGTAGGGTTGAAATGTTACCCTAAGCATAAAGGGACATGGGGGATTGTTGACCCCCGAAAATAACCTAACATATAAAATAGATAAACTACTTCTAATATGACCATATTACTCGTCATATTGCTGGCCCGTGACCTAGCCTAGAACAACTAATGACGCCCATGTCAAGGGCATAAAAATTTAAGAATGGGAGTGACAAGAAAAGTCCCTAAACCGAAGAAGACTGGAGATATTCTTCATCCATCAAACATTAAGTAACAATTAATATTTAATGGACAAAACTACTATCATCAAGAGTTGGACCCCCTTTTGTATTAAAGTTACCGCCACTGGGAAAAAGCACTAATATAAGCATTATTATTTCCTTAGTGTAGCTAATAAATATATGCTCCCAAAGCTCTAGACACCCCCAAATTTAAGTTTTGAATGAAGGGCCGGTTTTAGTATTACCGGCGCCCTAGGCAAGATTTATGAGGTGCCCTCTATGGTGAAGTAGAAACGGCGCCCATTTATGTGCATGTGGCGCCGATTTATGCGCAAGTGGCGCCTATTTATGCGCATGTGGCGCCTATTTATATCCGGCGCCCTGAGCGAAACACCTAGATGGGCGCCCCACTTGGGGGTGCTTAGAGCTGGGGGGAGGGGGTTATTATTTAACCTATATAGAGAATATGACAATTGTTAAATGCCAACCTTCTCGCTATAATTGACAGCAGAGGTATGATATCGTCTGATAGAGGCGGTGGTCACATTGCGATGTGCGCCGATAGCTGCGGGGTCGTCCAGGAACCCGTCCAATAGAAGATTATCCACGTTCTCTACATTTATTAGGTAATTTTAAATGTTCTGACCTACTAATAATTTATGTATACCTATACTTCTATACTAATATAATAAAACGTCGACACACTTCTTAGTTATGTTGGATGCCAATACAGCATTTTTTTTTAATAAAAGCACTACTCTTACGACACGCTTTAGGCAAACTTAGGGGATGACTGAATTGGTAAAAACCGTCTTGCGGGAAAGAGACAAAACTACAAGCCAATAGCAGTAAGATTACCATAATCATGGTAATTGTAAGCAAATGGTAAGCCGTCGTATTCATAACGTTTGAATTATGACATTTGCTATTGAAAGTTATACAAAAGTAAACGATAAAATATTTTTTTATAGTTTCATGTGGGTGAAGCTGCACGGGAATAGCTTAAAATAGATTCAAACATAAAGTGTAGTAAAAAATCTTAGTTAAGTGTTGAAATAAAGTTTCTATTTAATATACAAAATATACTTACTTGGATCACAAGCGTAGGGTGTGAGATCTTTGATGCCACTTTGTTTGACGACATCTTCATCGATAGCAAAGTTGCCCGTGTACTTCTTCGGGTCCCTGAAAATTAACAAATTACAAAAAATTCAAATGAGTACTTTTAAAAAGAAAATTAGTACCGTGCTGTAGAATTGGCGCAACACTAGTTTATTGTCATAACGTCACATCTCTAACTGACAGCTGTCAATGTCATTACAAGGATGGACATATTCGCGCGTATTACTGGCGGGACGGCTAGTTCAGTGTGTTTAAATTAATATCGCAAATAACAATTACAATAATTGTTTAAAAGTACATACTTAAAAAAAAACCCCTAAAAAGAGTATAAGTTTTAAAGTATTGCTAATAAATACTCTTTTTACTGAAATAATTTTTTTTCAATCTTCCATAAAGGTAGGACAGATGAAACTTTTAATTCTCATCTGTCCCCGCGTGGGGACACAGCAGGGTATTTAAAAAGCATTTAAAAAAAACATTACCCCTAGCAGTAATTCTATATTCCTATACTTACTGTGACAACATGATGTAAGCCGCATCAGAAACTATTTCAGGTTTGCGACTCGTCGAAGTATCTCCGGTCAACATTTCTATAGCAGCTGTTGCTATCGCTGAAAAATACATTTTATATCAAATCACACTTATACTATAAAAAAGTTTGGATGGATGTTGGTTACTATGTATTTCCAGAATATCCATGGATTGTTATAATTTGGCACATATGTATACAATGTAACACGGAAAGATTTGCATTTCTGTATGTATTGAAATAATTCAAAAACTACAATTCCAATTTCAAAAATTCTTACAATGATAAAAAGCTATTTTATCAGTAACATAGGCTATAATTTTTAATTATTATTTATTGACTTATAAATTAGCGAACAGCTAGTATAACATAGTCTGGAAGTATACATAGATTTCTTACTATATTTTTTTTAACACAAAGTAATGAACAAATATATTAAAAGTACAGCATGGTACAGTCAGGGAATTTGGTGGTATCCCAACTTTAAAGCGATAGTCAAACACTAAGATGCGGAACAATAACCAATAGGTATTTTTTATGTATTATACATAAAAGACTGATAACACGGCTAATTCCCATTTAATTATCCCAGTTTTGTTAAACCGAGTTTATTACAAGGCTATAAATCTAACACTGTTTATTTCCGCAACTGTACAGTACATCATCACCAGTTCACTATACATCCCCACCGAGGGGCTCGGAGCCTACCCTAAGTAAGGGTGACTAGGCCATAGTCCACCACGCTGGCCAAGTGCGGGTTGGTTGACTTCACACATATCTTTAAATTTCTTCGCCGATATGTGCAGTATCATGATATTTTCCTTCACCGTTAGAACGTCGGGTAAATTATGTACATATGAAAATTCGAAAATATGTGAGTTACTTGGTGGGATTCGAACCCAAGACCTGTAGATAATAAATCAAGTATTTAAACCACTGAGCCACCAACGCTCTGTTACTGTAACTGTACAGTTTAGATACATACCGGTTTTAGGCCAAAGTGCATTTACTCCAATATTAAATGGTTTAAACTCTTCACTCATTCCTAACACACACATTGACATTCCGTATTTAGCCATTGTGTATGCTACATGGATTGAAAACCTGAAAAAAAATAAAATTAATGTAATATTTGATTTATTAAATGGTAACCGATAAAATCTAATATTAACTGAAACTAAAAAATTTAATTAACTGATATCTCAGTTTTTTCAAACATAATAAGGGAGATATAAATGTCTTGAGCTAGCACGATATCAGAATTACCACTACTCGAGATCAGATGTGTGCGGTCAGGGGTAAAGTCGGATGCCAGGAATACATTCACAATGCTCCTCAGTCAGGATATCATCGATCTACCAAGCTCATATTGTTGAAACAATGTTCTCGCAACAATCCCTATTTTCAGAATAATCTAAGTTCTCACAAAAGTCGCTTGGAGGCGCTCGTGTTCTAATTATGACTTAAATTCAAATTGATTTCTTCTTCTGATTACGACATACATTATAATTAATCTTTGTGTGATAATTATATGAATAAAAAATTGATTGTATTCAATAAGCTCTTAAAATAACCTATCCAATTAAAAAATCTCCATTATAAAGTTACATTTTCACTGAATAAAATACAATATTTTACTGCCACAGGAAAAGAGTATGATAGAAAATGTATAAGTATTGTTTAATCCAGGCGAAGCTGGGTTGGTTCGCTAGTCCATACTAATATTATAAAAAGGAGAGATTTGTATTCTTGTATATATTGAGAAAACTCAAAAACTACTGGGAGAATTACAAAAATTCTTTTACTATTAAAAAGCTATGTTATCATGGAATAACATAGGCTATATTTTTATATTTCATGTGGAAGTTGCTAGCAACAGCTACTATGATATAAACATACTTACCAATATGGGCTCATATTTAATGGTGGAGACAGATTTAATATATGAGCATGATTGCTGTTCTTTAACAACGGCAGACATAATTTGGATCTGTAATTAAAAAAATTTAAAACATTCGATATATTTAACAAATCTATACTATTATAATATAGTGTACACACACTTCTTTGTTGAAGATGTCAGCAATTACAGCATATTTTTGAATAATTCTTTTTTTAATAAAAAGACCTACACTTACGTCACGCTTTAGGCTATATATTTCACGCTATTAAACTTAGGGGGTAAATATTTTGTATAAAAACCCTAATGTAGGAAAGTGACCATAAGTTGCTGCCAACATCAAGGAAGCAAGGTTGCCATAATTTCATGTTATTTTGACATTTGCAATTGATAATTTGACAAATGTAAACAACAAAATAAAAATTTTCATAATTTTATGCGGATGAAGTCGCACGGGAACAGCTAATATAAAATACAGACAAAGAATTTTAACTTAAAAAATATACCTTATCTGATATGATTAGCAAAATTAAGATATCAAGTTATATAAGAATTACATTATCTCTTTATGAATAGATTATTTTGCATAGGAACTTGGACGTTGGAACTTACTCCTATTTCCTGTCGGGCTTGATAAAACTAATACTTACAATAAATTTAAGATTCATATCTAGGAGTTTAGTTATTTAGTAATTATTCAGCATCCTGACTTATATAAAGTTGTGTACATAACTAGCTTTCGCCCGAGACTCCGTCCGTACAGAATTAAAAAAAAACAAAACTGAGTAGCCTGTGTTCTTCCAGACTATCCTCTACATCAGCCGTTTAGGCTACAAACTCTGACAAACATCCATCCATCCATCCATTAAAACTTTCGCATTTATAATATAAGTATGATAGTATGAAGCATTATAATAAATAACATTAAAGTTAATGGAGTGAATTTACTAAGTAATGTTTTATTCCACTTTTTCTGCTAAATATTTATGATGCTTTTAATTTAAAAAAAAAAAACTTAAACTTCAAGATAATACAAAGCTTGTGACCCCTCAATATAGTTTGACCAGGAACATAAAAATTCTCACCATACCACATAAAAAAATAAACAAAAAAAACATACAGATGACTTGAGTACCTCCTTCTTTTGGGAAGTCGGTCAAAAATACAAAAATACTGTTAAAAATCCTTTAACAACATTTGAAAGTTATAAAAGTTGCCGCTCGAGGGCAAAATTTTTAGATGGTTAAGTTTAGTTGAATGGATATTTGTTAGAATTTGTCATCTAAATAACTGAACTGATCTCAATAAAATTTAGTATAGTGTAGAACACAAAGGCTTGCTTTTGATTTTATTAATTCCCCACAAATAAATCTAGGGTGAAGCTAATATTTAATACATAACAGCAAACTAATAATAGTGAATTACAATCAATATTTACATACACAATTATGAATACTTACGCTAAGTAAGTTCCTCTGGTGTTAATGTTATGCATTAGGTCATATCTCTTCATGTCAGTCTGTGCTGTGCCAGTCAGCGAGATAGCTGATGCATTGTTGACTAAAATGTCAATACCACCAAACTAGAATACAATACAAACAATTAAACATGTAATATAAATAGGATGCTATTTTAGTGTATTTTATGTTCACATCACTAGTTTCAGTAAATATTTAAACTTTTTCTTGTTTTTAGGAAATAACTATGATTTTTGTTGCTAGAGATGTATTTTGTCTATGAAAATTAGTCCACAAGTGTGATACTAAACAAAATTATAATATAGATACATATCAGTTCAACAATTCAGTGTGACTAACTGTGACTTTAATATTGCCTAATTTTTTGACTTAAAAATTCATTAATTTGCCTTTAATATTAAACGTTTGATGGCACAAAACATTTGGAGAACTTCCTAATTAAACAAGTTACCTTCTTCACTGCTTCATCGATAGCGGCTTGCACTTGCTTTTCTTCTCTCACATCTACAATGCATGGCAATGCCTTTCCTCCAAGTGCTTCAACTGATATAAAAATACACATATATAAATCCACAATATCTGTGTTAAACAGTAAAACACATATAAATCCAAGGACTGTGCAAGTTTAAAATAGTTACTATTTTTGAAATAAAAACAGCGATCAAAACATCAAAGGTCGAAATCGTTCCGCCGTATAAAGTTCAAAGTCCACGTATGCAATTAACACCTGAATATCAAGTTTATCCGAAACTAAACTCCCACAAGACAATTGTAAATAACTACGAAATTTGATTTCTACATTCAAAATAACTTACTCTCCTCTGCAGCCGTGTAAATGGTGCCAGGTAATTTTGGATGCGGTTCAGCAGTTTTGGCGGCAATAACAACGTTCGCCCCATCTTTTGCTGCTTTCAGGGCAATGGCTTTCCCAATGCCACGAGAAGCACCCGTGATAAACAGGGTACGACCTGCTAATTTTCTAAACACACAAGAACAATCGTAAACCAGAGAATATTGAATTGTCACACACAAATCAAGAAAACATACCCAGTATTTGCGACTAAACTCATTTTTAATAACTATGAAATTAAGACAAAAATGTAATAATTGTAATAGTCAAATTAAATAATTTGACGAACTAATTTATTCATGCAATTTCTATAACTGTGTTTCACTTTCACAGAGTTCATGAACATTGAATTAAATTGAATGTCGGTGTTGGTGTTGGTGGTTATCTGTCAAGCTGTCAACTGTCAAGTTAAGATAAGACGTCTGTTTTAGGGATGTAAGATCACCAATTCAACTCGATAGTGGATTGGTTTGAAATAATAAGATCCGTCCGATTTTTAAATCAAAACAAGTGCCCTCGATCCATATTTTGAGGAAAAAATCTGAAACACGTTGAACGGGAGTTGGATGGAATATGTACTATTTAATATTAAATTGGGAAAATTTTAATAATTCTTAGAGTTATTTAAAGAGATTTTTTAATGTCATTTAAATATACTATGTGTTTTTTTTTTACAAAAATACCTTAAAATCGCAAAGAATCGATGCTGTATGTAAGTGAAACCATCCATTCCAATTCCAGAAATCGATATAAGCATCTATTTCCAAGGGTTGAACATCACTACTGTTGTACAGCTGTCACATAATTCTGTGTTGCTAGAATATCGGGTAGTTATTTCCAATGCTAACAGAAAAAAATATATCAAATTATGTTTTTGTTACTATCATGATGTTGATCATTTTTAACGATTTCTGCAGCCTTTTATTTAAAAATTATGTTAAACCTCCGATAATGGATCTCCACATTCTTGAGTCCACACTAGAGGAAATTCTATTACTTTAACTGTTGACGATAAATGTGCAAGGTAAATAAAGCGATATATCGATTGAAATACATTTATTTTGTGCATCAATTCATACTCTCCACACTTTCTATTCTCTATTACACAACACCGCAAATAAGGGTGGATGCATATTAAAATAATCTAAATTTAGTATTTCTACTAATTTCATTATATTAAAACCATCATAAGACAATATTAGGCTTTACAATAATAGCAATATTTGCTAAAGTATGGCTCGAATCATAGTCAAAAGTTCTATTTCTCCACATAAATCTTATTTACTGTAGACATTTGTACAATGTTTCTACTTACATATAATATACAATGATGTTGACTGGATTCATTAGATCTATTTTAGAGTATTTATTACAATTACTTCATATAAGCCTACTGATTACTAAATATAAATCTTTGATTTACTAAAATGTTGCTAAAATATTTTCATATCTTCGTATTCATATAATAATGTTTACAAAAATTAAAGAATTCAAATGCTTAAAAAAAATTCATAAATATTAATTTCGTTTCAATTAATACATAAATCCTTTATAATTATAAACTCATAGATTGAGCTTGATTTAAAAAATGATTTTATACATTTCTCTCGATACATATTTATTATAATTTAATATTTTAAAAAATAAGGACTTATCTACATGTAATTTTAAGCGCTCTGAGCATCGTAATTTCATTGTAAGAAAATATAATAATATACATGAAGTATATACCATTCCAAACGAATTATGGTCATTTTTATCAAATCCGAGGTGCTTTCCATTAGTAACGAGGGCCTTAATTTCAAATGAATTAGGCACTTTCACATCGTTAGTTTTTACGTCGTTCCTTTTAGTAAATTCTTACATAAATATAAAACATATAACACATGTGAATACGCCCTAATACATATGAATGCAAAGCTTAGCTATATCTATCTCACTCCCTCTTACTAATATTATCCAATTTACGTTTAGATAAGTTGTTAATTTTTTTTTTATACAATATTATTAGAAACATAAAACTGTTTATAATGCATATGATTTTTTTTTGTTATATTTCAATCAATGAATTTTTAATATTTCATTAAGACATTATCTAATTTAATTTGCGAATTTCTTGATTTTGGAATGACTGAAAATTTTCTTAAATCATATCAAATCGCTTAAATTGTGGAAAAAAATGTGTTCGTTAATTTAAAATCACTGACCAATAAATGGACAGGCTTTAAAACAGGGCGGTTAATTGGAAATAAATAAAAATCTGTCATATCGAAGTTACCTATCCATTTATACAGATCAGTGTAAACTAGCATTCAGGAAATACAGTAAAAAAGCACCATAATTATTACAAACATTGATATCAGCTTACCTATTTAAAGCAACAAATAAAAAAATTGGCACCAAAAGTAAATAATACTATTTTGTTATTTAGGCAAAAAAATACTTTTTTGTTATAAACTTTTTGACTGATATTGTATGGGAATATTATGTTCAACTGATTTGTGATAAAAATAAAGAAATGGCATATTTCGAGTAACTGAAAATTCTACATAATTTTTTTTAACTTATATTATGATATAAAAAATATGATCAAATTACAATATCATTATCAGTTTTTTGATTTTAAAACGTTTTATGCTTTTAGATAATCGACGGCACTGTACGTGTATCGTAACTATCTAGACATTATGAAATTTTTAGATTCATGCATTCATGCATATCTTTGGATATTTAAATTATATATTCCTTATATTTACAGGTGGCAGGCTATTTGTTTTAAGCCCCATTAGGTTCAATGTTGAGGCGAGCCATTAAAGTTTTCATTTTTAGAAAAAAAAAAACCATAAAAGTAAATCCTGAAAAGAATTTAAATTGAAAGATTTTCGGATCGGTTCTTGATTAAATTTACTATATTTATTTATTTGTTTATTTACAATAGGAAGTCAACGTATCACATGAAATAAGTTATGTTTGACGAAGGAAAATAATTATAACTAAAACAATATCATGGATACAATTACAGACTAACACATTATGATAAAAAACAAATGTAATAATTCTGCATACTTAATTACTTCTTTCATATTAAATTTACTGATTCTGAATATATAAGTCAATATTGCCTAAAACGGCGGTTAAAAAAAATAGCCTTTCACCTTTCGTTATAATTTTTACTATATTAAATAAAAGCTGGTTGTTTAGCGGAATGCTGTAAAGCAGCTAGAACATCATGTTTCAATCGTACATACAATCGTCCCTTTCTCCAAGGGTTCTGTAACTGTAAGGGCCTAAAGTCATCTCGAAGGCATCTTTCTCGGGCCCCTATAACAGCCACAAGGCAGAAGTCCTGCAGCCTTTCAGGGCCATATACGGGCCCTGCTTTCCCCTTTAATACTGCGGCCATGTTTAGTTGCTTCACTACGAGGTCGATTACTTCTCGTGCGGATGTTCTTGGGGTCACGTGTAGTTTAAGTGAGGTACCTACCGCTAGCCCGGTCTCGTAAGCCGCGAATACCTGCAAAAAATGTCATATTGTGAGTACTATCGGGGTATTTGGCGGTGTTCGATTTATTAAACTTACTTTAAATGCAAAGATATAGCTTTTAAATGCGTTTGTAAGAAAAAGGTCAGTCAGTGGTGCATGTTTATTTGTTACTAGCTGTGGCTCGCGACTTTGTCCGCGTGAAATTAAAGAATAATAAAAATTTAGCCTATGTTACTGATAACATAGCTTTTTAATAGCGAAAGAATTTTTTAAGTTAATTTAGTTTGTTTGTTTTGGAGTTATTTCAATACATACAAAAATACAAATATTCTCTCTTTATATTATTAGCATATATTTGTATAGAAGGCGGTTTTTAATCTTGGTAAAGAGACGTTTTTTATACGTTGAACACCGCAAAGGTACCTGATTGTACATAAATGTTAATAGGTAGGTATTAAAAAAGTTGAAAAAAAATTAAAAAATCATTATGCTGAAATAAATAATACCTGCAATATTCCAGGTTGGTCTGGAGTCCGTTGTTCGTGAGGTTTCATATCGTCTCTTTCAGTCTTAGGAACTTTATTATTGCATTCGTCTTCCTGCGTCTCCAGCAACGGCTGCCGTTTGATGCAGAGGTTCTTATGACTTTGTCCCGTGTCAGTAAAATCCACGTCAGATTTCACGTTTGTCATACTTTTTGACGCGATCACATTGTAAGGGTTGGGGGAATGACGCAGTTTTAAAGGTACTGATAATGGTGAGCTTTGACTTTCAGAATCGCTGGACAAACTTTGTGCGGATTCTGAGACGTTACCCTTTATTGTACGGACACTTATCATGCTACCGGGGTAGTAGTTTTTAACTGTCAGTAATGGACTGGAAGTTGTGGAGGCAGTATTGCTCATGCTGTGAGGTCTAGGCTTAGGGTCTACGTTCTCGTTTTGCAATACGAGGGTATCTTCGCTCTTTGATGGCGGTAATCGATTGCTACCGATACTTGTATGGGAACCGGATGATTTGATATCAAATTGTGAGTTACTGCTCAAATAATTGTTACTCATGAGACTGGACTGAGTGAATTGGGAATCACCGCTGCCTTTTCTAGAGTATTTGGAATCTGGGTTTAAAAATTGCGAAGTACTCAAATTGAGGGTTGAAACTGATGTTTGTCGCGGGGACAGACTTAATTGTTGTTCTGATTTGCTGAATTCGGGATGTAAATGAGCGTGGTTTCCGTTTCCCGCGGGACCTGGCCAGGATCCTCTCCCTGGTGAGGTTTTGGTTATTTTTCCATCTCTAGAAGGTATCTGGAGTAAGTCTACTTTGAGATTTACATCTTTGTCCGTGGTATCCGTTTCGGGGACGCAGCCTTCAGTAGGACTCCTGTCGAGGATGCATTTGAGGAGTATACCAGAGCTGGTGCCAGCCTTATCTTTGTCTCTCGCGAAGCTGATCAAATCCATGAGCCATCGTTCCGCCTTCCACACGATATTGAGATTGTTCTGTAAGTCTTCTAGTTTGTTGAGTCTTTCTTTGGCTGTTTGTAGCTCGGTGCAGGAGAAGGCTTCTCTATGTGAATGTGCTGCGAGGGCTACATCCAGCTCGAGGACGCAGCTCAGCTTGGAGTATTTGTTCAGGATGCTGGTGTGGTATGTCTGCAGGTGTATCATTTCAAAGGCTTGTATGGGCAGACTGAGCAGGTCTCCCTTCTGGAGGAGGATCTCCTTCTGTCCGGGCACGGAGCAGGCCTGCTCGGCCGGAGGACACACCATGATGAAACTGACGTCATTGTTCAGCTCTATGACCTCGAGGTCGTAGATTCGGTGGGAGTTGACGGTTTCTATAGGTATGTCCATCTCCTTGAATAGTCTCCTCGCGGCGCAGGATATCTGGTCGAGGAACATCTCCTGAGATTCTGAGGGCTTCTCGTCGGCTGTGATCGCGAGGCTGTTTATCGTTTGCTGGTCTTCTGTCGTTTTGCCGGATTGCGCTAGCAGGTAGTCCCATTCTTCTCTGAAAATGAAAACCAGCGCATTTATTCACCTCTGCATTGTTCGTTCAAATTTAATAACGAGCTGTTCTCTGCTTGTTACTATAAAAACTTTAATTTTTTTTGTTTATATTTGTTAAAGGTTTCAATTTAAAGTTTCGCATTTCTTATATTAGTATATATATATATGTGTAGTTACGCGGAGACGTGGGGGTTGTCCCGGAGGCGGGTGTGCGGGGGCACGTTGGGGGTGCGCGCGGGCGCCACGATGCGCACCACCTCCACCGACGACTGCAGCTTCAGGTAGCCCAGGTACAGCCCGCGCGGCAGCTGCACGCGAGACACCTGGAAACACGTATAACCGACGATTTACAAGAGAAAAACTATAGATTTTCTAAAAGAAAACACCTTAGTTTGGATTTCTAAATACTTTTATCTACTTTTCAATTTTAATTATAAAAATCAGTTCAATCAATTAGGTGGGTGTACCAATGTGAATTTATTTATAACAGTTACCAAAAAATGTATTATTTAGTACCTTGATAAAAAAAGTACCTTATCCAGAACGAAAATATAACAAAACTTGTTTTTGCTTACGACTTCGTCCGCGTGAAATAAAAAATAAAATAGAAAACATCTGTTACGCACAGAAAAATCACCGTTCTAATGGTGAACGAATTTTTAAAATTGGTACAGCAGTTTTTACGTAAGTCAAAATCATACAAAAATACTAATATTTCTTCTCTATAACATTGGTATAAATTAAGATACACCCGTCATATTGATTCTCACATTTTTTGGTAACAGTAGAAATCTTCAAATGATACCCTGACTTTTGATGGAAAAACCAAAACATCCTTGACTACCGGAGAGTGTCGTGACGTCCAACGTAACGACGACCTGTGTATTTGTTAGAAGAGTGTCTGCGGCGGTACCTGGTGGTATGCGATCTGGTCGTGCACGGAGGCCATGAGCAGGTCGGCCATGGTGTTGTCCTCGCTGAGCACGCGGCGGCGCAGCTTGGCGAGCGGCGCCCAGCGCGAGTTGAGCGCGGCCAGCTTGCCGCCGCGCGCGCCGCACACGCACGACACCACCACCGTGCCGTGCGCGTCGCGCAGCGGCCGGTGGTACAACTGCCCTGGGGGCGTCACAACACTTCATACACGCCCACTACATTTATTTATCTACGAGCTGTCGCCCGCAATCTTCGTTAGCGCGGATTTAAAAAAAGTCATCTTTCACAGTGACAGTGGTAGAGTCCGCTTTAACATCTTCGCACGAATGGGCCGACTCGCCCGGTGTAATACAACGACCACACAGGAAACAAGCGTGAAGTGGAAGCAATTCCGCGTTTCGTCTGATGAGTGTGGCGCCGGAGGCCTAATTTTAGCCCCTTTCCCTATCCACCCTTTCTATAAGAGGAATGGATGAGAAGGAAAAGAGGATTTGACGGTGGAGGAGACGCATAGGAAGGGGTAAATCTCCTGTTTATGTGCGTCTCCTCCGTCAATCAAGGGTAGGCAGCGCATCTGCAATTGCGGGTGTTTATGGGCAGCGGTCGCTTTTCATTTCGGTGGATTCAGGTGGCCGCTTGCTCGTTTGTCACCTTATATCATAAAAAAAACATACATGAATGAATGAATGAATATGTATTTATTGCAACAAAATAGAAATTACATAAAAGGACTTATTCTAAAGAAAACACAATCGTGGCAAAAGCCAGCTCAGCGTATGCAGGATGGACTAAGCCATTCCTGCGCTGATTTTCAGCTGACTCCTTCGCACTCAAGTAATATGTAGCTTCATTATAAGATCGCTAAATCTCATCGAGATCCGTTCAGCACTTTAGTTTACAAACTCTAACAAACATCAATTCATCTAAACTTTCGCATTTATAATATTACAAAGACTATCCCATATTTATTTACTTCGTGTCATGTTATTGTTTTGTAATTTCTAATTGTATTTGAGTGTTGATAAGCATTAAATGTTTTTTATTTTTACTTTTGAGAAGTCAAGAATGTTTATGCAACTAATCCCTCCCATGTTTCCGCCCGTATGACCTCAGGTTCAGTAAAGCTATAGGTGATTAGGTTAAGTAGACTCCGAGCCCTTTCCTTTCCAACCCCTCTAAGTTAACTAACTTAAGTAATTACCTAGGTCCTGTATGCCGAGTGCGGACTGCATCTGCGCAGCGGCCGTCAGCAGCTTGAGGCGGAAGTGCACGGAGGAGGAGGTGTGCTTCTCCATGTCTGACCTCAGCGACTTCACTTCATCCCAGGAACACGACACCTGATACGTGTATTACTAATGTATGGATATACATATAACACAGACATCCATACTGATTGATTCTGGATAGAGTAAGGATACGTGATGGAAGTAAATACAGATTTAAAAAAAATATAACCCGTGAGATTAGGTCAGAGAAAAATTATTTTAAACTTAGCATAAGATTCTACTATTAATGATCTGTAATATTTTCCTTTGAAATAATCACGACAGGTTAATTATGACGCACGCAAATACAAGTGGCGTTTAATTGAATAGAACAGTTAAATTACGTTTTTATTATTACTAGAATATTAATATAGTCTATCTTGCGATCAAAGAGCATTTTCATATTACTTGGCATCATCATCATCATCATCTCCCCTGCCTTATCCTACTCCCGTAGGGTCGGCGCACCTGGTTTTCGTCCTCCAAAGCATTCTATCATCCGTCATCTCAGTCATCACTCCCTTCTTGATCATGTCACCTTTCACGCAATCCATCCATCTCTTTCTAGGTCTACCTCTACCGATGTACCCCTCCACATTCATAACTAACATCCTTCTTGTTACATGCGATTCATCCCTTCTCATAACATGCCCATACCACTCTAACCTTTTACTTGGTATATCTTTTCCAATAAATTTGTGTTGATTTTTATTATGCCACGTCTCACTGCAGGGAAAGCTGTCTCTACATATTTCTTTATTCAGTCATTACTTTTGTATACTAATATTATAAAGAGAAAAGATGTGTAGATTTGTATGTATATAATTAATTCGAAAATTCTTTCATCATTAGAAAGCTACGTTATCGCTGAGTAACACAGATATAATATAGTGTACCTTCATAAGCCAGTGGAAGTCAGTATAGATGCAGGCAGGATAGGTCTCGTCCACCTCAATGACGGGCAGGAACTCCTCGCTGGTCACCAGCACCTTGTCCTCATGGTACACTATACACGACAGGTATACACCTCTGAAACGAAGACACTGGCTTAGCATCCTAATACTGTCTTCGCTTTTTGCCTACAAACAACCTGATAACTCATTAAAATTAATTATCAATTGTAACAAGTTTGGTATACGAGCAAATCGAAAAATAAATTCGCCACAATAGCGAAGAGACCGAAGACCAGACAATTGCATTGTTACTTTAATTGTCGGAGGGCATGCACAAATATTAACCTTTCCCATGGGTATTTCCACTCTAAAATCTACTTTCTCATCACACCTTTATAAGAAAAGGGTTGGCAGGAAACTAAAATTACTTCTCCGGCACGCGAGAGTGTACGCTGAATGACTTCCAGGTCATGACATTACGAAGGACTAGCCTATACTTCTACCAAGTTCTTTCCGGCATCTACAACTATTATGGAGTAATTGTTTTAGCGTTCACTAGAAACAGATCAGGTGCTGGTCTGACCTTCTCAGATTCTTCTGGAACTTGCTGGCAGCGGTGAAGAGCTGCCGTATGGTGGCGGTCTTCTTGCGGGGCAGGCGCGGCGGCTGCGGGCGGGGGCGCGCGCCGGCCGCCGCGCTCGCCAGCGCCTCCAGCGCCTCCGCCGCGCCGCCGCCCGCGCCGCGCGACCTGCGCCCCGACACGTCGCGCCAACCTGCCAACCGGTGCAACTTGAGATATGGATTCTTTTAACCAGCTCCGTACGGGGTAAAAAAAGAACTTAGTAATCTATGTGTTCTTCTAGACTATGTTCTACATCTATACCAAATTAGCGAGTTCTGTTAAGCCCTTCTGGAGATATATAATAATATCTATCCATCCAAATTTCGCATTTATAATATTAGTAAGAAATTAATTGCTATTTACTGTAACTCTATTAATAACTAACTGGTTGTTGAAGTTAACTTCTGGTCACATTTAGTTACTCTATAAAGACTTCGTTTGCTAACCTTCGCTTGGGTTCTCTTAGTGTAAATTTAATAAGAAATTAATAAAGGACTCTAAGTATCACAACTACAATCTAAATATAGTAATTGTGAATCGTCCTTGTGATTCGGGCCTGTTTGATGTTATTAATCATATCTATAAATCTAAAGTAACGATAGAACAAACAGAAGTGTTCATTTCTTATCTACGAGTATAAGTATCCAACTAATTTCATTTGAAATTAAGTAATTCACATAGACAAGTGGTAAATAAAATTTATCGAATTAATTAGAATTTTACTAAAACTTATTCCGCAAATTATTCTTAAGTATATACCATAATTTTTCCATTTATATTATTATAATAAAGCATAAACACACAATTCTTTGTTGCCTAAGATGTCAGCAATTACAGCATATTTTTGAATAATTATTTTTTATTAATAAAAAGTCCTATACTTACGTCACGCTTTAGGCTTTTTATTTTAACGCCATTAAACTTATGGGGTAAATATTTTGGATATAAACCCTAATGTGGGAAAGAGACCATAAGTTGCTGCCAAAATCAAGAAAGAAAGATTTCCAAGGTCATGACATTTTGACATTTGCTATTGATAATTTGACAAATGCAAAACAATAAAATATTTTTTTATAATTTCAAGCGGATGAAGCCGCACGGGCACAGCTTGTTTCAATATAAAAATTATTATCACAAAAAAGCATTAAAACGCAATACTAAAAACTCACCAGCCATCACAAGATCAAGTCACAGAATACAAACGATTACTAAATAATAAATGCATCCATAAATAAAAAGAAAATAAATTATTACCAAACAATGTACGAAGACAAAGACATTTCCCCATTCCTTTTAAACTATGTAATAAACAGTACAAATACACTAAACATTTAACAATAATAAACAATTTACTACGTAACTTGAACACGTCTTATTCCTATCAAGTCATTGTCGATTCAATCATAATTCAATACAAATACGTTAATTACAGCAAACCAATGAAATACCTAACACGAGATAACAAAGTATAGGAAATACGATTTATAGAAAAGTTACGTATCTATAATGTATGTATGTATTATACAATTTTATTTTTAAAGAAAATACACGAGTTAGATAACTATAGGAACTCCTGAGAAATCGGTCTATGAATTTCTACATTTCTACTATCTTATCTTACTAATATAAAATGCAAAAATTGGATGGATGGATGGATGTTAGTTTATAGCCTAAACGGATGAACAAATCTCAATAAAAGACATAAATGTAGAGCATAGTCTAGAAAAACATAGGCCACCAATAAAGTTTTTTTCCCGCGCAAATGGAGTCGTGTTCAAAAGCTAGTACAATATAAATGTTTCCTAAGTCCATAGTTTTCGTGACATTACAACAAACTTATCGAAATTATTATATTATACAATGTTTTAATTCCTGACCATAATAATAATGAAATATTTTTCTTTATAAAAATTATATTCACAAATAAAAAGGCATATAAAATTGATTACTTGTACAGTAAGGGACAACCGCGGTGTTGCACTTATAGAACTCCGCCCCTTTTTACAAATAACCAATTAAGTAGCAGTAAATAGCGCAAAGAGGATAATAATTTAAATTAGCCGTAAACAGTTAATAGGTATTTTTTACAGATAATTTTAGCGTCCAATCAATTACTGTTCTGCATTATATTAAAGCGTACAAAGGTACAAAAGTAACTTTTAACACCGCCAATTTCCTTAATAGTACATAAAACTTACTGCTGGGTACTACGCTTCGTGGCACGGAGACTGTGAAGGGCCCCCAGCCCTTGATGTTCCCAGCGGCGGCTCTAAAGAAGTACCGCCGGCCCCTGGTGAGCCCCGCAGCTAGCACTTTGGTGCCATTCGTGGTGCCAGAAGCCGCCACCTCGCGGAAGCCGCATAGGTTCGAAAAATCCGCACGCGATGACCATTCCACTGTAATTTGATATTTAAATACATTAGTATTTTCCCACTTACTGATATAATAAATGCGAAAGTTTAGATGGATAGATGTTTGTTAGAGTTTGTAGCCTAAACTGCTGAACGGATCTCGATGAAATTTAGCATAGATATAGAATAGTCTGGAAGAACACATAGGCTGCTTAATTTTGTCTTTTTTTAAATTCCACGCGGACGGAGTCGCGGGCGAAAGCTAGTCAGATATACTACAAGGAATAAAATCTATATTCAATACTCCAGAATAGAAACAAAATTGGTTTTTTTAAACTTATAACAGAAATTGTCAATAGAATTCTAAAATATCTTTTAGCTACGATGCGATACAATACCAATCTAGAGGGACTTTTCTTAACATTTTTAGGTACATATATCAAGGATAGATATTTATTGCAAGTTATTCTTAGAGCCTCTTTTATTAGTACAACAACTTTTACTATACATGAAAAAAAAATGCATACGTTCATCTTACCTAGTGCAAGTTAAAAAGGTCATATGACGTCATATCTTACCTTTATACTTAGTAATGATGGAGTTATCCCTTAGCGGCGACTGTGAGAATGTGACGGTGTGCTTGTGTTCCCGGAGGCGCACGGCGACCGCGTGCGCGCCGCACACCTCCAGCTCGGGCGCGGGCCCGCTCGGCGCGCGCGCTTGTTGCCATCCTAACATCAATCGTCTGCGGAAACATACCATTTATTACATAATGATTGAAATTATAATAAGAAAAACATTTAAAAGCGTTTATTGATCCCTGGAAGAGAAAGTAGCGCCAGTTGTCGCTATTGAGTAGCAAAAGGTTAGCGTGGTATGGACATGTTATGCCACGAGAGAATGTGGACACACACCAGAAAGTGTTAAGATTGATGTGGCTACAAGCGTAGAGGAATATAGAAGAAAGTATGGATAAATTGCGTGGAAGAGGATATGCTTAAGAAGGGAGTGGATGGTGTGATGGCTGATAGAAATGTATGGAAGAGCAGCACATACTGTCTGTAGGGACAAGAGCAAGTTGATGATGGTCCCCGAAGGACATGACTTAACGACTCTGAGTGAGGTATACCAATTCTGTATTCGTTAATTACAAAGACCAGTTTGGAAAACAATCACGGCCGATATAGTCTTCCAGGTAGTATGAACATCCAAAAACTATTTTTACTTTATTGTATTGCTTCATTTTAGTGTTCTTTTTGTCTGGCGACTAAAGGTGCTTATTATTATCAAGCAATAAAAACCACATGTAAGCGTAATGCGAAATTTTGTATCACACTTATTGTAAGTGATGACATTTTATCTTTAGTTGTAAACTATTTGCAAATAAAAGTATTATTTGCTTAACGCGATCAAGAGGTTAAAAAAGAAGACACGCGTCGATAATTTACGTTACTATGTAGTTAATTTATACTTTCAACAGTATTATGGAAAGTGAAGTAAAATGCTGAATATAGACTAGTTTGTTCCATAGTAAGACCAAAATCAATATTCAATCTCGAATTGTTTTTACAACAAATTTAAACTGTCGTGCCGACCCTACGGGAGTTTCTACTCCCTTATTCTTAAGGAGGATGATGATGAAATTTAAACTACAATAACACGATCTATTTAGGGTAAATAAAACTTTTAGGGCCCATCTCAAGAACCAAAAATTGCTTATGGCAAAGTACAGTTCAACTTGGACGCCCATGGACATTCGAAACACCAGAGGAACTACAGAAGCGTTGCCGGCCTTTGAGGAAATGATAGGCTCGCTTCTTGTAGGACCCTTAGTCGTATTGGTTTGGAAATACCGCCGAGGACAGACCGTTCCACAACGCGGCTGTGCGGGGCAGAAAGTTCCGCAAAAACCGCACGGTTGTGGAATGCCAGCCATCAACATGGTGAGGATGGTACCTGGCGGTCTGTCGTGTCCGATGACGAAACTCGGTGGCAGCAATCGAAAAGTTATTGGTTGTTGTTCAGCGTTCAAACGACTGTATCGTTAAAGGTGCAACACCACCAGATTCCCTGATTGTACAAATTTAAGGTTCCTACTTAAGGGTCCGCAGCCTCCGCTCCCAGTGCAGCGCCTGCTTGTCCTTCTCGGAGCCGGTACCGCCGGCGCAGCCCGTCGTGCCAGCCTGCCCAGCCGCAGAAGATCTACAAATAATGTAACTTATTTAACGTAAAATTATCGCAAGTAGAATTATTTAATGGTGAAATGGCACCTTAGTGAAGATTGTCTATACCTCTACACTAACCGCATTTTATTGTCCATTTCGATTTTGGATGTTGTAGAAAGAGTATAAAAAGAAATAAATCATATACCTAACTATAAAAAAGAGAGACTTATTTGAAGACGCCCGAACCCGCTTATTCCTTCAAGGAGTTCGCTTTTCTTGACAGTTTACATACCAATAAATAAAATTGTCTAGGTATTTTTCAATTTCTTTATATGAATATTAACTAACAATAAGTAACAGATTACCTAGTACAGCTGTCCTCCTTGCAGTCTCGCTCCGGGTTACAACCTCCGAAATCATGCAGCCGAGACTTGGCCTCGCTCGACAGCCGCCGTAGATGTGCGCCCAGGGAGTCCGGCGTTTTGACTGTCGACATAATATGCTATCAATAAATGCCGTTAATAAATTACATGCACATTGTGTTAAAACAAAAGAATACCTAACATGAACGTACATATTTAGAGCGTGCGCACACTTGAAACTAAACTATCGCATAACTGTTCTGTCTTGCTTTGATTCCTATGAGCTTATATGGAATCGCGCACACTACTCGATTTTTAGTTGTGCAACTAAACAGTTGAATGGGCCACGAAACCATCGACAATCGCACTACCCCCGCTCTTATCATATATTGTAAAAAAAAAAACTAACCAAAGTGCACATTTTTCTAAGGTACAGATATAATCGATACAAAAATACATGTTTAAAAAACAGAGGCAGACTAACGATTGTTTTGTCGAGGAATGTCTCTATCATTTAATAATCACAAAAATCTAATTAAACAATTACAATAGCTTAGAGTATCGTCCGTCACCCTGTCGAGGGTAAACAAAAACAAATCAGTGTCAAGTGTAACGAATGCGCTTCCTCTGATAAGGTAACGGATAAGGAAACTTGTATCCGCTATCAGAGAGCATTTATCACTAACCGATTGACACGCGTCCCTGATAAGATACAAGATTCCATAGACTATTATCGATTTAAATACAAAGAAATCACTTTAACATCTGAAACTCTTGTTTGCACCAGGTTAGTAATTTAGTTGATAAAAAAATTTGTGTAACAACTAAACGTGTCTAAATAATGGAAATTTAGTCAAGTGGATTAGAAAATTTAGAGGATAGGGTTGTAAGTACTAAATTAGTCGTTAGTCGACTAAAATTCTAGCCTAGTACCAACTACGAATAAAGTGTGTTGTCTGAATTTTTTTATTATTAAACATATTAGTAGATTTTTGTTAATTTACTAATATTTCCTTTAACCACTCCAACTAAGCTCTAGGCTTGTGCTGGGATATGGTTCACCACAATCGGCGAATAGCGGGATTCGAACCCTCGACCGCACGCAAGCTCGGTAGTCCATACCCCAAACCATTAGGCTATTGGCCCTTGAATTTATAAGGAAGTAAGTATTTTAATATGTGAGTTTTTATTTGTCATACTGGAATAAATTAAAGATAAAATCGGTTTGTTAAAGTATCGATTTTGTTTACAATTTTTAAGATAAACAATATATCAAAGATCAACGATATAATTCTGCGAGAAAATTTGAAATAGATGTTATATAAAAGAAGCCAGATAGCGTCCGGCAATATTCGATATTGTTCAATTTCGCAAAAAGCTTTCATATCCGTAAAGAAATGTAAAACTACGAGATGAAAACATTTTTCTATTTTTCTATCGGTTTTTATTTTTTTTTAAATGGAAAACAATTACAATTAGCTAGCGAAAAAATTACAAAGATATTGCATTCTATAGACTTATAAAAGAAAGATATTTATCATATTTTAATCTATATTAATATTGTAAAGAGGAAATATTTGTATTTTTGTATGTATTGAAATATCATAACTACTGTCGAGTTTAAAAATTCTGTCACCGTTAGACAGGTAATTTATCTGTGAGTAACCTAGACCATTTTTTATTATTTTTTTAATTTCACGCGGACGAAGTCGCAAGCTATAGCTAGTTAGTTATAAAGTGTGTTAATCAAATAATAGGTAAAATGTAATGCAGATTTTAAATATTGCCTTTCGCATATCGAATAAGCATATATCATTATTTATCACGCTGTATATATTTTAAAAGCATCACATAAATTAAATTGACCGATGCCGATTCGATTTGAGATTAAAAGAACGTTGAAAGCGTGTATCTGATGTAGGTTTAAATAGAAACCTTAAGGTGGCTTTTAAATTGCTATATCAATCACCCAATACTTTTTTCGAAACAGATTACTTAAGGAAAAAAAGGGGTTATTCTAAAAGTTTTCGATATTAACTATGAAACACTTTATAACACGTAATGCTTTCGTTAGGCCTTTAATACTAGAAATAAATATTTGCACGGATTACCTTGTGATAATTTTGTGGAAAAGTCGCCTATTTAAACTAATGTATGTTAGTAATAAACTCAAGAACCACTGGAATGATTTCGAAAATTCTTTTGCCGTTAGAAAGTTAAATTATCACTAAGTAATCTTAGTAATATTATAAATACGAAAGTGTAGATGGATGTTTGTTAGAGTTTGTAGCCTAAACGGCTGAACGGATCTCTGTCATAGACGTAGAGGATAGTAGACGGAGTCCTGGTTGAAATCTAATATACGTAGCTATGTTCGTTAATAATTTATATCCCACACGACTGAAGTCGCGGGCAAAAGCTATCATAGAATAATCATTAGTAGATAAAAAATCTTATTACCAATTCTAAGAACAATTCATATTTGTAATGATGCAGGAGAAATAAGTAACGCTGAGCCTCCGACAGACTTAAGTACTGATATAACCAAGTTAAAGTAATCTAATCTTTATGCTTTAGTTATCAAATAAGTCTTCACGTGATTATTCAAATGAAAATCAGAAACAATATACATGTCACCGACCGATTGTGAATTCAGACAGTTTGCATTCTCACTAAAATGACTCACTAGACATCTCGACAGTTTATTTGATTAAATTATAAATTAATTAATTTAAATTACGGTTTAATAATAATTTAAAATAACGAAATACATTTAACCCAAATCATACAAATATTAAACTAGTAACACATTATTTTGCCGAAATTCACAATTTTTAGATGGAGTAAGAAAAATGTTTAGTCATCAAGCAACGTCCGTATTCTGTTTACATTTCTCCGAAGTAACAGATAAAACGCCTCCGTCTACAAGCGTATCTCTTTTATTTGGATAAAAGATCCAGCATCAAATTAGGTACTTGGGATTTACAGAGATACAGAAAAACATTAAGAAAAGTGCTGTTTTTAGCGCTGCTGTAACCAAGTTCGTTAACTTTGAAATTAACTTAGTATAGTATATAGTATTTGTACATGGAAAGAACTTGATGTAAATCTTTAAAAATAAAAAAATTAGATGGATGGATGGATGTTTGTTAGAGTTTGTAGCCTAAACGGATTTCCACGAAATTTGGCATAGGTGTAGAGGATAGTCTGGAACTGGAAGAACACATAGGCTACTTGCATTATTTTTTTTAATTCCGCGCGGACGGAGTCGCGGGCGGAAACTAGTAAAATAATGAAATGAACTAGATAGTAGCTGGCATGCCAGTGTTACTGGCACAATTCGTTTTCATATGTCAGTAAAATCTCAATAATATTGTACGAGACCAACCCTCTCCAAATTGCATCAAACATTGCGCCAATAAATGGCATCAAATTTGACAGATATTGAATAAATAAATAAATAAATAAATAGAATTTTTATTGCCGCAAAAAAACTACATAAACATTTAATGCACAAAACCTTAGAGCTGATATAAAAAAGAGAGGGAAATGTGGGGTAATATTGGTATACGTGTTACCTTACTTTAGTAGAATTGAAACTAGTTTTTCTGTAGGAAACTTGTGTTATATGCGTGCGATTAATCGCTTAGTGAAAAATAGGTTTAAGATATGTCGTAAACGGCTCTTATTAGTTTACTTCATAACAGTTCACTCAAACATCGCATGTCTCGTTGTTATGAAGTTTTTTACGATTTCGTAGAGAAAACAATGTTTGTTACAATGCTTGGTTATCTAATTGAATTGTTGTTTTTTTTATCTGAGTGTCAAAAATTGTAATAGGATTTGCGTGCAGATGAATCATTGTTAAAATATATCGCACGTACAATAAATTTATTCGAATGTTACATAAATTCGGGTGTATTCATGATTGGTTTATTTAATAAACCGATATGAAATAAAGTAATTTATGAAATTTAAACTTTGCGAGTAAATGCGAAATTTTTCCAAAAGGCAGTTTCGTTTACATTCGGTTTTTAAATAAAAGAATATTCTTTTTACTGTAGTGAAAATGCAGCGATCTATTGAAATACCTGGGTTGAATTTTATTTCATACAAACGAAACTCGAAAGAGTCGATGCCAATTTTTCACTTTTTACTAACAATTTTCGACTAACAACACTACCAAGTTGAAGTAGGGAATAGTGAAAAGAAGTGGTTGTATTTGGAGTATTTTAGTTAAGTATACGAACGGCAATAGGCTTAATCCAAGACCGAATATCCATGTTACGTAGTATTTTGCACTATGGAACTGCGTTTTAAAAATGTATAAAACCTACTAAAGTTCATAGTACTATTTATATCATAAGGTGACAATTGCAAGCAAGCGGCCACCTGACTTTGCCGAAATAGCGAAGCTGCCGCTGTCCATAGAAATGTCGAATAGCAGATGCGTTGCATACTTCTGACCTTTCTAGTTCGACTTTGCCCCTACATTTTAGAAGTCCGACCGAATTTTTCCGTGAGTTTTGCGGACAATATAAGGGCGAGGTTACATTCGTGACACGCGAGGCTTTTAAATATTTTTAGTAAGACACAATGCGACGCGACGGGGGGCATAATGGACCTCGCATATTAACACACTTCGATAAGGCCGCTGTTTTTTATGATAGGCTATACCAAGTCTGTGATAGTTACGAAAACATTTTCCTTTTAAGTAACACGATTTTATTTTTAACCAAAATTAATCAAAGTAGCGCGCTTTTAAAATATCAAATTTTATATTTTATAACATAAAGTGGCAAACGAGCAAGCGGCCACCTGAATCCGCCAAAATGGCGAAGCGACCGCTGCCCATAGACATCCGCAATTGCAGATGCGTTGCCTACCCTTATTCAACAGAGGAGAAGACGCACATACAGAGGATGTTTGCCCGTCCTATGCATCTCCTACTCCGTCAAATCCACTTCCCCTCCCATCCTCTCCTTAAAAGAAGAGGGTGGTAAAGAGAAAGGGACTTAAATTAGGCCTCCGGCACCACACTCATCAGACGAAACACGGAATTGCTTCCATTTCACGCCTGTCTTCTGTGTGGTCGTGGTATTACACCGGGCGTGCCAGCCCATTCGTGCTAAGATGTTAAAGCGGGCACTACCACTGTAAATGTGGAAAAATAAACCTCAAAAGAGTAAAAAGTATAGCTTTTAGATAGTTTTAATATAAGTCTGATACTTGTCTCTTTATACGTATAAAGTAAGATACGTTATATCGTTGTTTATGGTAAGGTATTCCCCTACATCCATCAACGATAAGCAGCCATTTCTGTCAATATAATGATGGATCAATTTAAAAATGAAAACTTATAACGTCTCAAGAGGTTTTCGTCTGGGAGAAGACAATATGCAAGAATATGATTCGATTGGTTGTAGTCAATGCGTCTTTCACTTTAGAATCTACTAGCTGTTGCTCGCGACTTCATGTGGTAATAAAAAATATAACCTATGCTACTCACAGAATAATTAACCTTTCTAATAGTAAAAGAATTTTAGAAATCGTCCCAGGACTTTTTTTATGAATTAAATACATACAAAAATACAAATTCCTCTTTATAATATTAGTATAGATATAGATATGGTCATTAAAAGAAAAGATTTAAAATGAAAATAGAATTAAGACAGATGTACAAATTATAGTAGATTGTAACAGGTATAATAAGATTCAAAAATGATGGCTTGTCTGAGAGCGCATATCTGTGTACGTAAGCATATTGAGGACGGAGGTAAACACGTACAGATAGACTTATCACATATAGATGAGAACGTTCGTAACGTCATTGACAAATATCTACGTTACGTATATTCTCGCAACTGTCGCGTAAATATTCGTGATAGACCCTCGGAATTGTGTTCCGGCCCTAAATACGTCTCGCCGATATCTACTTAATATTGTGTTCTGGACAATCTCAAACGAAATTGCCAGCTGGTATTAAGTTTGGATCGCACTATACTATTCGATATCTAGTAGTGCTGGTTATCAGTATTCGATACTTGTTAGTATTGCATACTTACACTGGGATCCCTCTTTGGCACCAAACTCCATAAGCATTCTTGCGAGCTGTCTGTTGTTCGCCAACACCGCCACGTCCAACGGTGATAGACCATCTGGGTTGAGGCTGGAAACAAAACCACATATTTATTGGTAAAAACATTTGATACATCTATCGCATTACTAGCTTTAAACTGCAATTCTGAGTGGATCCGTTCAGCAGTTAAGGCTTTCAACTCTAACAAACATCAATCCTTTATAACTTTTGCATTTATTACATACAAGCTTTCGACCGCGACTCCGTCCGCGTGGAATTAAAAAAAAAAAACAAAAACGAGTATCCTATGTGTTCTTCCAGACTATCCTCTACATCTGTGCAATATTTCAACGATATCCGTTAAGTAGTTTAGGCTACAAAATCTATCAAACATCCAGCCATCCATCCATCTAAACTTTTGCATTTATAATATTAGTAAGATATTAGTTAGATAATAAAGGTTTGATAAATAAAAACGGACTGTAATCCGAGGATAAAATGTATGATATTGTTATTTCAATGTGCTATATTTATATAATGCGGTTTACCTGTTGACATCCACGTCCGTGGACTCGAGGATATTGCGAGCCTTGTCCAAGTATCCATGTTCCACTGCAGCAAATAGTGCTGCAACAACAAACAATACGAATATCAAAATTGTTATATCTATACTAATATAATAAAGCGTAAACACACAGTTCTCTGTTACCTAAGATGTCAGTAATAACATATTTTTGAATATTCTTTTTTTAATAAAAAGCCCTACACTTGCGTCGTTAGGCTATATATTTTAACGCCGTTAAATTTAGAGGTAAATATTTTGGATAAAAACCCTAATGTGGGAAAGAGACCATAAGTTGCTGCCAACATCAAGGAAGCAAGGTGGCCATGGTTTGTCATCAACATACCATTTTGACATTTTCAATTGATAATTTGACACATGTAAACAATATAATAAAATTTTCATAATTTCATGCGGATGAAGTTGCACTAGCTGTTCCCAGTTACTCCACTATAAGTGTTTGCGGACACCTGAAACTAAACTATCAAACTGTTTAGTCTCGTTTTAATTCCTATGACCTTATATGGAGATACGCACATTACTCGATTTATAATTGTGCAAACAATTGAATTGGCTGCGAAACAATCGACAATCGCACAACAGTTGTGCGATAGTTAAGTCAAAGGTATCGTATTTAATAATCAATGATCGTTATAAATAGATAGGTAATTGGAAGTTACAGATTTTGCCTCTTGACGTTAGTAATAGTTAATTCGTCATCTATTATTGGTTCGAATCCTCATCACCTTCACCAAACGCAACAAGAAGCGGCAAAATTAGCTAACAATGGTAGAGTCCAAAACAGTATTAGATGCACCAATGCCTCGTTGCAATACCTCGCTCAAAGAAAAGACGGGCGTAAAGTAAGTCCGTGTTTTGTCTACTAATAGCCAATTCTCCTCTATCCTTCCCACCATTTTAGATAAGGATATAGGGAGTGTATATTTAGCATTTATTTTAACAGTAAAAGCCCACTGTTAATACCAATTATACTCATCATTCAAGAGTGATTGATACGAAAATGTTAACGATTACGTCACACCGTATTCGTAAAGCGAGAGAAATGATTGATGAATCTTGTCTTAGTAGGTTATCAAGGGATTTAGTAACAGTGACAAATGTGAAGAAAGGTTCGTATTTTGTTTATCAGTGTCAATGCTCAGCAAAGATTTTATAACCGTGAATTTCCACTGACGAAACACTTGTGTTTACACATTTTTTTTTAATAAAAAGAGGACTAATAATAGTTTATTAAAGAAAAATTAAATGATAACCGATCTACCGAGTTACGTCATTGCTCGCAATCGACGTCAGGAACAATACAACGTCGGCAGCTATTTTATTATTGGCCACACACAAAATAAATTATTTAACTCTTTGGTCATTAACACATTGTCTTAGAGTAAGAAAGGGATGGCTATATGTTACTATGCAAGTGTTTCAAATATGGAAACCCGTAAGTTGATTCATCGAAGTCAGGAAAATGAGGTTAAAATCATCATGAATTTCGTGATTTTCCCAATTTTACCTCTTTATTCCTGACTCACTTCGGAATTAATTATCGAAGTTAGTTAGTTAATTAATTTGTTTAAACTAAATTAAATAAGTTTACATAAATGACGTCATAATACTACGTGACACCCCTAAAAGTTAATCGTTAGTACAAAAATAAATAATTCAAATTAAACAAATCAACAAATAATACTTAAAAAAAATAAAAATAAAAAAAATACCCTGCAAATGTATGTTAACTTGTGCAAGTTTGTTTTGGTGCGCGCGCGCATCCCTTTGCTGTCGCCGCGCCGCCTTATCGAGCGTGGCGGGGAGAGGGGCGCAGGCGCTCAGCGACGGCAGCTCCCCCGCGCACCCCTCCAGCAGCCCGCCGTACTGTAGCTCTAGGGGACAAGTCACCTCGTACAAAACACAAGAAAAGACAAACAAAAAATAAATTAATGAAACAAACAAAAAGAAAACATAAAAAAACTAAGGTCTCCATTTAATCCACGAAATATCAGATTTTTTTAACTTTAATAATAATGGGAAAAATCGTAGCATTTTAATTGCAAAATATTTTAGTTTCGTCTAGCGTTCGTGGGCTAAAATTATTTTTGGTATTGCTATTGAATTCTTTAAAAAAACAAATCTAGTACAGTTTCTAATCTTGAGGTTTCTATCTATTTATTTAAGTTATTTAGTAAAACTATATCAAACCTATGAACGGACTCTTTAGTGGTTAAGAACGGAAGTGAATCGGAGTAACCCGTTGTCTGTCTGTCCCTATGTTTGCTTATATCTTTAAAACGTAACATAGTTAAGACATATTAATAATTTTAGAAGTTTCTAATGTGATGTCGTTTGACATTTTTGTATCAGCATTGGACCTATACGAAGCCGGGGTAGATCGCTAGTATTTTGCAAATTTTATTATACATTCTTCAAAGCTCAAAAAACCCTGTGACATTTTCCTTTAACTATTAACGTGGCCGTTTAATTTAATGAAACCGGGAGCAGGGGCGGTAAGAAGAGCTTACGTACGGATCTCAACGTAATGACGAAATTACCTTTCTCTGTCAAATTAAATTAGTCTAACGTGAAGATAGAAAAAGATATAATAGACACACTATAAAATTCGTATTACAATTGATTTAAATGTTTAAAGAAATACAGGTGTCTTGTATTTATTTTTTAAACGTATAACTAAAATCATTACATGCTAATTATTAATTAAGATGACGTCTTAATTTTTTTTTTTGTAATTCGACCTCTTTAATAGCCGGTTTTCTAGCTCATTTTAACCATTTATAAGTATTATTGGTTAGATAAATTCATGAAATGCGTTCCCTAACTACGTAACTTGAGTTTTACTCCGTCGTAACTCATTTAACCTAACACTAACGAATCACTAGATAATGATAATATAAAAAGAAACTTCAGAAACCCAGCATAACACTAGTAAAAAAAAACATTCTATTTGACTGTTAACTCTAGATGTCACACAGGACCTTCGACGCACCAGTTTTGAATTGTCAAAAATGACGACAAGGTTCGATCCTAACCTCGAATATCAATAGCCTTATTTGGCAGCAGGCGTTAGGCTTGCATTACACAAGGTGAACTGTCCACACGGAATACATACAAGACTAATGCATGTGTCGGAAACATAAATTGTGATAATGATTGCTTCATCTATAAACAGTCGACACTCGTAGAATTTAATCAATATTAATTTAACTATACTGTTATAATAAAGCGTAAACACTACTTTGTTGCCTAAGATCTTAGCAATTACAACATATTTTTGAATAATTTTTTCTTTAATAAAAAGCCCTGCACTTACGTCACGCTTTAGGCTATATATCACGCCATTAAACTTGGGGGTAAATATTTTGGATAAAAACCCTAATGTGGGAAAGAGACCATAAGTTGCTGCCAACATCAAGAAAGAAAGATTGCTAAGGTTTGTCATGTCGTGTCATTTTGACATTTGATATTGATTATTTGACAAATGTAAACAATAAAATAATTTTATCCTGATGAAATTGCACGGGAACAGCTACTACTAATATAAAAAGTTGCAGACTTTAAATACAGCAGTATCTGGAGTTGACTTTCAGCCGAGGAAAATTCTTTTTTATTTTTAATAACAGAAATATTACACACATAGAACTTAAAATATTAAAGCCAGTGATATTAAAGGAAATTTGTATAAAGTGACAATTAGCTACGAGCTGTGAGAAACTGAACACGTCTGGGATAAATTTGTCGCCAATTCTCTCTATAAACATCATTTATTAATCCATGAATAAAACATATCTATTGTTAGCTATCAATTCCCAGTAAACTGTAGGTGAAAGGTTTCCATTGTTAGGTACAGCACGATATTGTTTCCAGGACTCGTGACTGCGTGCGTTTACATCGCGTGGATCGTTACTTAACGCACGTACTTACGGCAAAAACACTGAAAGCAATAGTGATGTGCTCGCCTGACACACGCGGCGGAAGTCGAGAGGCGAACGAGGCCGCGCGGAACACGGCTCAACCTAAATTGGTCATCTAGTCCGACTACTATCGGAAGTTACCACCATAACTCACTGCTTAGTTGGAACTTGGAATGATCACGGCTGAGAAATAGAAACTTTGACGGTTTTCTGACGTTTGTAATTTTAATCTGTATTAAGAAACACACGGACACAACTGGCAGTTAATAATTAAAAACAGTTTGAATATCGTACTGGCCGCTTATAATGAACACAAAAAAGTAAAAACCTGAATTTGGAACTGACCGCAAGTAAAGAAATCCACCATGTCACTCCATTGCAGTATCATTGTTGCAACTGAGGAGGTCGCACGGTTTCGGAGCTCTCCGCGCCGGCATTGTATATGCCTATCTCAATCTGTGACGTCATCGTTTAACATCTCGCGGTTTGGGAAAGTGGAGGTCTAACTGGAGTACAAGTTCATTGTTTTTTTAATTCCAAGACAGCATTTAGTCTATGACATGTAAGTCGAATACTGTACTGAGTAATTAACAGTACATGAACCACGATTATTTATTGACATTGTTTTTCCAACTCGTAATCTTTATTGAATTGGTATTCGAGACACTTTTATTAAACGATAAATAAATCATTTCGTCAACCGAATTATCCCTTAGAGACGCAGACTCAGCGGATCCGGATAAATTGATAAACAAAAACTTAGGTACAAAAACGTCGGGCCAAGATAAAAGCGAAGGACTAAACCGGGACACGTAATGAGGGAAAAGCGAGTACCAAATCACTGCCAAATTACTGACAAGGGATGCTAAGAAGGTCATTGTCTAGTTTCTATATCGTAAATTAAACACCCTGTAAATAATTCAATACGAAATATATAAGCCCATCCCACACTGGCGATTGTTTAACGCAGTTATATAAGATCGTGTGACCTTTGTCAGCAAAAAGTGTAGACACTAAAATTTTATAATTATAGAAAACAATTATGCGAAAATTATACAAAGATTCGTATCTGAATGGTGTCAAGTTGCGTTAATCAAAATTAAAATTATCTTAACATAACTGGAATACAATTAAAATAACTCATGGTAAATAGAATTAAGATATTTTCAATTACAAAGTCTCGTTCATTTCGCATATGCCGTAGGAATCTAACAATAGGTTAATTGCTTTGCAAGATAATTTTTTTTTCTGTAAATTCACAAAAGCTAATTGAAAAAAGCGATCAAAAAATTTTTGCAGTCAGTATTTTTAAACAATTGTCTTACCTATATTAAAAAATCTATTTTATTATACAAAAGTACACAATGTAGATCATAAAAGGTAAAAATGTAGCCAACACAGTAATTAACATGCGTGGGTTGTAATTATTATGAAAATATTCATCCTCTCATATACATTCTTATATCTACAAAGTAAAGATAAATTCGATTAGGATGACAATGTACAGTCAGCTGCAAAAATATGTGTATATTTACAAAATCTTATCTTCGGTCTTCGGTTTCTTGTTATGGTGCCGTCTCTTAACGAAAGTTGGCAATCATTACAGCAACTTGAAGTTTGGACACATCTCTAAATATGAACGCGTACTTTCATTGTACCATTGGCGAAGATTTTTAAACCACGATGTTTGTCTTTGATTTGAAATATTAAGGGTGAGTTGCATCAAATAGCCGGTTATCGTAAAAGTTATAGTTATAGTTAATAGGGTTACAAGTGCAAAAACATATTCTCATAGAGGTTTTATGTGTTTTTCGTTTTTACAATGGAAACATTTAAACCTGAATGTCACTAAAGTGTCAAGTTGGTGTCAAGAATGACATTTACGTAAATTATAATGTTTGGAAATTCATGTTTCGCCGATTATGTTTATGTATTATACGCATGGTATTTTATAGTGACATAAACTCTTTGCCTACGAAGATGGAGAAAATGGCAAACTCTTGTGAAAATAAACTAGTTTGGGCCATTATTGAAACTGTATTTACTTTACTACTCAAATAAGTAGCAAAAATGAAGCAATAAAATTATACAAATATAAATGCATCTTATTTATTTTCCATATTATAAATTGTCCTCTCAATGCATATTATAAATTGACCTTTTATGGAGGACATTTTTTTAAATAAGAGAAAAGGGACAAGCGCTGTTGCTATGGCCTTAGACACTCGAAATTTGTCCAAACTGAATGTTTGGCCAAATTTCGAGTTCCATCTTGGAAATCCATTATTTCCGAGCACGCAAGACTTTATTCTTCTGGATTACGTATAGGATAATAGTAGATATCTTCTTTTTCCATTACTTTTTCCATTATTTGTGCTTTTGAAGATAAGAGCTTGTGACAGTTGACACTAACGAACTGACACTAACCGTAACGCTAACTATAACCGCCCAAAATCGGGCGGTTATGATTAGTGTCAAATATGACGTCATTTTGACCAGCGCAAAATTGGTGTAGCGAATATCATGAACATCCGTAGACGTAACCATCGGGAATGTGCTGGTTAAGGTTTATAGTTAGTTAATGTAACTCATCCTTAGTAAATTTTAAGGTTATTCCAAATATTACCATTACAAATAATTTTAACTTTAACGGTAACCGGCGATATGGTGCAACCCACCCTAAAGCACGTATTCGTCAATAGTGCGAATATATCGGAAGTATGTCAACGGATTCGTGCATTCATAATTTAAACCGATGGTTTTACAAGTTTTTAATGTTATGTAAATCTATAAATATTGAAGCTAACTGTACTTATTGTTCAAATTTTATGCACCATGTACTGTATATTATGTACATTTTTGAAGGAACTCAAGGAATGTTAGTATTTATTTATTTCAATACTTTAGAATGATATCATTCGTTAAACAAATTAATCTTATTTATTATCATTCCATGTTTTGTCAATATTTATACATAGTGATTATTTGATGCAATCTTATTCATTGTTTAAACATTTTCGGGTATTTTGTAGAACTAAGATACTGTATTTATACTTATACTATTATTATAAAGAGGAAAGATTTGGATTTTTGTAAGTATTGAATCAACTCAAAAATTATTGGGCCGATTTCAATAATTCTTTTACCTTTTAAAAGGCACGTTATCCGTTAGTAACAATGGCTATGTTTTTTATTTTTATTTCACGCAGGCGAAGACCCATGCAAAAGCTAGTATTTTTATATTTGTCTGACTGTCTAGATGTATTTTTATGTCCCTACTTACTTGCTTGCATTACGTACAGTTTTTGAGAGAAATACTTCAATTAAATTCAAATATTTTTTACTTCCTACAAGTCTAATCTCTTTAATTTCGCAAGTTTGGTAAAAAATAGGCTTACTAGCGTGTTTGTCGCAGATTTACTCTTTTGTTAGCATTGTTCCCACGGACGGTGAAATGCTCGCATTTCTACACCAGAATACGATTGTTCTCAACTTCTTACCGCACCTGAGCATTGATGTAAGAGCGATATAATTTAACACAACTTACGCATTGTTTATTTATATCTTTCGAACTGCTCAAAGTTTTCAATGATCCCTTCAATTAAGATGAGAAATTTCACTCAGGGACTTTAAACTAACTAACTTGGACAGAAGGCACTAGAGGCCGCGTAACCCTACCTTGTCAACTGTTCACTCCTCGAGAGACAACGAAAAAAGTTAATAGAATTCACCATACAAACCACAGAACTCTAATCGAGGAATATATCAGTTTTTTTTTTTGTATCAATAAAAAACTAACAAAGCTTTTAAAGCAAGATTTCCGTTAACCAGAATCTTAGTCTTGTTTCGATTAATATGGATTCATTCATGGAATATTAACAATCGATATTTTACCTTTAACAGGTCAAGGATAACTACTTTGATATCTGCCAGTGAAAATTAAAAACTACGATTGTAGTTGGAACATTAGAGCTAGCTGTTCCCGTGCGGCTTCATCCGCATGAAATTATAATCTCTTTATTTTATTGTTTATATTTGTCAAATGTCAAAATTCAAATTCATAAATGACAACCTTGCTTCCTTGATATTGGCAGCTTGTAGTTTATGGTCCCTTTCCCACATTAGGTGTAGTTTTTATCCAAAATATTTACCGCCTAAGTTTAATGGCATGAAAATATATAGCCTAAAGCGTGACGTAAGTGTAGGGCTTTTTATTTAAAAAAGGATTATTCAAAAATATGCTGTAATTGCTGACATCTTTGGCAACAAAGAAGTGTGTGTTTACGCTTTATTATAATAGTATATATAGAAGTGTAGATTAGAACATACGTATAAACATACGACGAAATTTAAGGTTAACAGTTAACGCCTAGTTTCGCAAGTGTTAAATAAAGCAGAATAGTATTAAACTTTCGACATCCTGTTACATAGAACTCAATGGTGCGTGTATAATTTGTGAACCACTTGATTGGTCACGAAGTTAAACTAAAACGAGTACGTTAATTATTATACTTTGATAATGGTAGATACCTAACTTAATGACGTTATCGAATATGGAAAAATGCAATAGTGTTTCAGAGATAATATTACTAACATTATAAATGCGAAAGTTTAGATGGATGGATGTGTGTGAGAGTTTGTAGCCTAAACGGCTGAACGGATCTCGATGAAATTTGGCATAGAGGTAGAGGATAGTCTGGAAGAAGGATAGTCTTGGCACTTATTGAGCTAGCGCGCTCTATCATTCGGCCGCGTCTTCACTTAGCTTAGGTGGAGTCGTGGTCAAGCGCTGGTTTAATTATGTTAACAAAAGGACACATAGTCTACTAACTTTTGGTTTTTCCAACTAGTCGGTCGGGGTCGCGGGCAAATGTACTAACTAACTAAAAAACAAACCAGAAAGAAGCAATAAATAGAAGATCAATTGAATCAAATGCATATCTTACTCTGCCTAGTTAATATCTTTAGAGCGCGCACACTTTTGACTAAACTATCGCACAACTGTTTAGTCGCATTTGGATTCCTATGAGTTTATATGGAGGTGGCACTACTCGATTTCTAGTTGTACAACTAAAAAGTTGAATGGGCTGCGAAACAATTGATAATCGATCAATATTAGTTTAATCAAAGGTGTGCGCCCGCTCTTATATCAAAAACTTGATTCAGAAAGCTGTGCAAGTATCGAATATTTCTTGACTCGGAAAAACATTACTCTTTCGTTCAATGTTTCAACTTTTAAGTTAAGGTTCGGTTTTTTATCCATCGATAAAGAAACAATTGCTGATAAATATGAAAATTCACCAAATAAGTATGTACCGAGGATTTGCGAGACATAATTTTCAAGTAACGAGCTTTTTTGTTTTAGTCAACAAGGTTTTACATTACGTAAAAATACATTATTGAACAGATTATAAAGTAAATGATTGTTTTGCCCGCCTGATAGGAGGGTAATGGCCATTACCTCCAACTGATTGACCAGGTGTCATAATAGCAGTTCTTTTTCGTTAGAATTATGATAGATTGCTGAAGTTTCAACTAATTTTATCAATACCTAGTAATTCATTAGTGTTAAACTAAATTTAAAAGGAGTAAAAAAATTTATCGAACCAAAAACACTAACTTTGGCGCCGGGGGCCCAACTTTAATCTCTTTTCCTTCATACCATTTTTATTATAAAAGGATGGGAATCGAACGTGGATTTGACGATTGAGGAGACGCATGGGAAGGAGAAACATCCTCTTTATGTGCGTCCCCTGCTCCGTCGATTAAGGGGAGGCAACGTATCCGCTATTGCGAATGTCTATGGGCAACGGACGCTTCGCCATTTTGGCGAATTCAAATGGTTGGTTGCTTGTTTGCCACCTTATGATATAAAAAGAACCCAACGAATGGTTAATGTATCTCGGAAACTGGACATTAGTAATTAGTTTGTTATAATCAAAAGCATTTAAAACCCCATGACTGAACAGTTTTCCCTCCTCTTTGAAAAAAACATGTTGTTGTACATGTTTCGGCAGTGTAAACATAATCCCTTTCACTTGTCTAGCGTGGAGGCGAATGACATCCACTTCATCACGTTCCGACATCGACTCGATATGAAGTGCGGATTATACACGCGACATGCGTGCGCAAGGAAGTGACTATTTTATACTAAACTATACCAACGCATAAAAACAAATTAAATACTCAGAGTTACTTCTTGGTCACTTGTTTAGTCCACATTGCCCATAGTAAAATTATACTAAACTGAACACATAACGAGTAAAGAAGTTTAATTGAAAAATATTTATATTTCATTTCCTTCATAAATTTACTGACCTTTTGTCGATGACAGAACGCCTAAAGAACTCATTTTCTTTGATAATTCTTAGCCTTTATTTCTAAATAAATATTATTCACTGATAGCTTTAAGCGTATTATGATAGCCAAAAATTCTGTAAAAGGCGTTTGGATCATTATCAAATAACAGACGACCAAATTAACTTGGATCTTTCGTAATAAGAGCCAGAATACAACTGACGGATTATTAGTAACTGGATTCGTGTAATTAAAGTGTAGGATGCTTTGGCGTCGTGGCCGTTCCGAGAACACAATACCTGGATGTAATTGTAAACCAGATTGGGCATTGTCTATGCTTTATATTCGAAGGTAAGAAATGTTAAACCGCTTTCGAATCGAAATATCATGGGAACAACATTCTTTAAAAAACTTCGCATCTTCATTATTAAGCGCCAATAGCCTAAAGGTTTGGGGTACGGACCATCGATCTTGAGGTCGAGGGTTCGAATCCCGCCATTCGACTATTGTCGTGAACCATATCCTAGCACAAGCCTAGACCTTAGTAGGGATGGTTAAAGCAAATTAACAAAAATCTACTAATATCTTAAATATAAAAAAAAACTAATAAACCTAGGGCCTGCCCTACAACTGGCTGATAGACGCTCAGATAGCTTAAAAATGACGTCACTGTGAGATAAGGTAACACAATCCGATATTTCCATCACATATTTTACACGTTGGATTGTTATTAGACAATAGGTGTCCCTAAGACTAATAATAGGATACTATGAGTAGTCACTGATGGGAAAGATGAAAGCTTTTAATCTCATGGGATTAGGCAGGTTTTGGGAATTTTTATTTGTACCGCCATAAATCGTTGATTTGGCTTCTTTCAAAATGTATACATTGATTGTAAGCATTGTTCATTACTTTTGCATACATTTTCCCTCATCCGTTTATCCTTAAAATAATAATAAAACTAATAAGGGAATAAATTAAATTTACCGCGTTTAGTATTGTGTTATACAAAATGTGAAGTAGAAAAATATGTATGAACTATATTGAGGAAAAAAGTGTGATTTAATATTTAACACTAAACAAAATAAACCGTACACAGTACAGATATATGTGTAATTTTCCTTTGTAAAAATCTTCAAGTATCGAAACTTAATAAACATGCAATAACTATAAAGTTTTATGAGCTTAATGTAAATACGTACTGAGATAAGAAGGCGAGTAAGGCGTTAGTGCGAGCTTCCTTTCCTTAGGCGGCGTGCTGTACACGAACGCGTGGTTAACGCAGCCGTGACTCTGGGTAACACTTAATTCACTCTCAGATCCTCTCCTCGTGCGCGGCGGCACACTCGCCTCAGTCATCGACTTCGCAGACTCAGATTTACCAACGATCTTCAATTTCTTTTTCGCTTTATCCTTGATCGGAGAATGTATATGCAGTATCGCCGCGGCTTTCGGCGGCACCTTCTGCGGGGGCAGTAATTCCTTCGCCGAAACACTTTTTTGTTTTTTATTTAAAAATATGTCACTGAATTTCGCCTTTTCCACTTTCCTATGCTGCTGCGGCTTCAGCGTGAGATCTATGTTGCCGCTCTTTCGCCTCTGTTTGGCCACTTCCGGCTTTCTTTTCGCCATTATCGGTGTCTTCGATCTGTAAGTACCCTCGACACCAGTGTAAGCGATGGTATTGTCGCCGTCACACCAAATGTTCTTCGAGAATATGAGGTCTCGCTTATTTTCGATATCTTCCGTTTGTTCACCGTCCTTAGCGGACCGCCAGCGGTTGCCTATCAATCGTAGGGAAGCGCGGACGGATCGGGTCCTTCGCAAGCCTCCTTGTTCTCTCTTGAGCTTATCGAGGAGCATCTCCATAGCCCTGCGAGGGGGGAAGCGCGGGCCGTGGGCATGGCACGTCACTGTTCGACTACGCGCACGCTATTCACTACAACTATAGTTACGTGAGTCGATGTTTCCGACGTTCACTCGAAGCGGCGTCGGTCGGTCGAATGCTGTTTGTAGTTTACAACAATTCGACAACTGTCAGCTGTACCGACGAGGCCCGACAACTGTCCTGTTGCAACCGCGGTCCTCAGATCGACTGTTCCCATTCGCACAATCTTAATATTTGATAAGATACGTATTCTGATACGTGTGTTTAAAGATCGTACATGTCACCGTCTCTGTGATTTGTATCGTGACGTAGAACAATGATAAACGCAAAGGAGGCATTTTAAATAGTAATTTCGTGCACTGGTTTAGTAGCGTACTGGGTTCTGTTTCGCAATCGCATGGACAATGTTGGTTGGTGATTTACACAGCAATTTGTGTTTACGCGCGGCTGTCTCAGTAACTCGCTTTGATCAAAGCTTACCTCGATCATTATAGGTGTAGTTTAATTATACACAGTTTAAGTGTTGCTGTGAGGTCAACGTGAATTGTTTAAGAGTATACTGCGTGTACAACAGAGTAAATGTGCATTTTCACATTACAATGCGATTCTCTACGTAACAGTTACCGTACGTTGAATATTACAATTTTTCTTGCAAAATACGGACAATGTCTTATTTAATTTAAATGTAATAATTAACCTACTTTGTGAGAATTGTTATCGTTAATATACGCAATATGTGACAAACGGAAACTAATTAGCCTATTTTAACAATACATAGAATTGTAAAGGAGTAATATATGCATGTAATATTACGACACTATAACAAATTATTAAGTTAAGATAAGAAACACTTTTTACTTTGTGCCTCATTATCTATACTATTACAATAAAGCGTAAACACACACTTCTTTGTTGCCTAAGATGTCAAAATTACAGAAAAAATCCCTACACTCGCGTCACGCTTTAGGCTATATATTTTAACGCCATTAAACTTAGGGGGTAAATATTTTGGGTAAAAACCCTAATGTGGGAAAGAGACCATAAGTTGCTGCTAACATCAAGGAAGCAAGGTTGCCATAGTTTGTCATCATGTCATTTTGACATTTGCAATTGATAATTTGACACATGTAAACAATATAATTAATTTTTCATAATTTTATGCGGATGAAGTCCCACGGGAACAGCTAGTTAAGTATAAAATGCGATGTTTTGACTGTAGTTTCCTATATATATATTTACTTATCTTATTTATCATAATAATGTTATAAATGTGAAAGTTTGGATGGATGGATGGATGGGTGGATGTTTGTTAGAGTTTGTAGCCTAAACGGCTGAACGGATTTCGGTGAAACTTGGTACAGATGTAGAGGATAGTCTGAAAGATCACATAGGCTATTCACTTTTGTTTATAATTTCACGCGGACGGAGTCGCGGGCGAAAGCTAGTTTGATTATAAATTCATCCAATAAGTAAAAACTGAATATTGGTCTCTTTTGTTTTCTTACTTTACGTATACTTTTTAAATTTTAAATCCGAGGGACGTCAAAGTATTCGGACCGGTCGCAGTAAAGGGGACGTCTATTGTAGGATGTTCCTACTTTCAAATCGGATTTTGTGGAATTTCACGAATTCACTTTCCTGTCCCGGTCCACTGGCGAAATTGAAATTCGCTTTATTTCTCCAACATAGAAAAATTCTGTTATTTTCTTTGTGATTGCCATTTGGTGAAAAAATCTAAGTATTCAACCGTTTTTATTGTAGGTAAAGTTTAAGATAAATTCACAGTTTGTGATAAAACTATTACTTGTCACGCTCGCTTTTAATATTTAAACCACACTAAGCGACGTTCTTGGAAACCATTTAGCAAAGGTATCGAATTATGCCAAGTTTTCGATCTTCTTCAAGACCAAGAAAGAATTTGTTGAAAATAGACTCTATATACGCATAGGCAGGGGAAATTTCCTCTTTATGTGCGTCTCCTGCGTCAATTAAGGGGAGGCAACGCATCTACAATTGCGGATGTTTATGGGTAGCGGTCGCTTTCCATTTCGGTGGATTCATTTGGCCGCTTGCTCGTTTGCCACCTTATATTGTAAAAAAATATTAACCGCGAACGGCCATTGATACTAACAGGAGTATATTTGTACATAAATACATTTAACATATAATTGATTACTAGTCAACGTATAAAATTATCACAAATTCACACGTATGGTAGTTAATTGCAACCTTTATATGGCTTGATGTATTTATAGAGCATAGAACATGGTCGTAAATATCGGGACAAGATATCATACTTTAAACGCAGTTTCCTATCATACTGATTAGTTGAAGTACCGTAAACATACATAACTACCGTTAAGTCCTATATTGAAATATACACTAGCTTTAGCCTGCGATTACGTCCGTGTACAATTAAAAAAGAAACAAAGGAAGTAGCCTATTTGTTCTTCCAAACTCTCCTTTTTATCTATGCCAAATTTCATCCAGATCTGTTCAACCGTTTGGGCTACAAACTCTAACAAACATCAATCCATCCATCTAAGCTTTCGCATTTATAATATTAGTAAGATACCATCGTAACTCATGGTTAATGAAGACGGCTATACTTAGTATGAAAAATGTTACTCTATTATTCACAAAACGTACAGCTATATTACTAACAAAATAAATGCGAAAGTTTAGATGAATATCTGGATGGATGTTTGTTAGTTTGTAGCCTAAACGACTGAACGGATCATGATGAAATTTGGCGTAGATGTAGAAAAAAATCTGGAAGAACATATAGGCTATTAACTTTTGTTTTTTTTAAATCCACGCCGACGTAGTCTCGACCTAAAGTTATCGTAATTATTCTAAGACAACGAATAACACCTTTCCCTTATGAATGTTTTATACGTAATATGATTGTTATATGCTTAAAGGTCCGAACATAGCGACAGGAAGCAGGTGCCTGACCCTTTTTTTGTCCCCAGTTGTACAAGTTTTTATAACGCTGGAGTACAGTCCGTGCATTTGTAATTCGGATGAGATTTAAACATTTACTATTAAACTTTTTTATTAGCAAAAAACTGTAATTACTTTTGTTTGCATTATTAGTTTAACTTTTATACTAAAAGCCAAATACTGAAACAACACTTAAATATATAACACCGTCTTAATTGTTAAAGATACGCTTCAATTCCAAACTTACATTTCTACGTCTATCAGATTGTAAACGGCGCTAAAAAACCAAAACATTCGAGATTCGTTTCAATATTCGGCCGTTAGTGATATTGAGTAATGTTCTGTCGTCTCTTTTCAACACAACAATTTATTTGTCAACGTAGTCTTTGGGTAGAGTTCACATTACCGGAAACAAACTTAAATACGCAAGTTTTACGTTATATTTATAATTATAACAAGTTAAAGCTCTGAAAAGTTTTGCGAAGCTTGTCTGTCAGTATAAATATTATTTACAACCACTGTACGTATTGAATAGGGCTCGAATGAAAAACAAGAGACGCGAGTATTTGATTTCGTGAGATAACTAAGACCATGAACAGGCGGAAGCAAGTATGTCGTATGTAAAATGATAAATATGCAAATACAAGGCTAATTTTTATTTACACTTGCATTCCTTTTCATATAAAATTAGGTGAACAGCCTTCACATAAACGACCTTGAATTCCTTTCTCTATTAGAACGAAACATTAACAATTATAAAGCTAAATACACATTTTTTAAATCACCTAATTTATAAAAACATGTTTATATGTTTATCGTTCAGTAATCATTTAATTTTGTCCATTCAAGCACGGTTCGAAGTAATGATTTGTTATTTGAATCGCTTTGTCTATGACTAATTAATTAAACAAGATTGAGTTCAATTATATTTACCTGTCCTAATATTTAATGATTCTAGTCATAATTGTGACCGCTATTAATGTAATTAAAACGTAAATGCTGATATAAACCAGTGTTGGAATACTAAATGTAATTCCTTTGCGTTTATCATAATTCTCTTTAAGAAACTTAAATAATAACGAAATTCACTTACAAAGTATAATTAGACCGTTTTTCGTCGTAACTTAAAATACTCCATTACACTTTAATAAACTTAAATCTACACTCAAACACAATTTCTACATAACAAATCACTTTTCAACTGTCAACATAACCGCACTTTTATTAACTAACGCCTTCACATTTTATACTTAAAACAATTTTATTACGACAAATAAAACGACACGAACTAAAAACACGGATTAAAATAGTTCCTTCCATTGATATTTATCTATTTATTTAGTTTTATAGTTTAAACGTAAACATAAGCTTTCAAAACATCAGTATAACGTTCGCGCATGCCACAGACAACTAAAGCGAACTGAAGTTAGCCGCGTCAGTGCCGACAACATGGCGGATAGATATTGTTGCCAACATAGCGAAGGAAAAAAACTACGGCTCCCGCGTCAGTCAACGGCCTTGCGTTACTAGTATTGTTAAGTTATCGATATATTTTGATATCGATTTATTATAGTATTTGTTAGCTTAGCGGTTTCATTAATTAATTAATAGAATAATATGGTTAACATTATCAGAGTGCTGCAATAATTAAAAAAAAATGTATTCTGTAGTGCCAGAATCCCAAGAGGGATCGTCGATTTGGAGATACCTACGAATGCAAATGTTTAAAATTACTCACTATCTCTTATTTACACATTTATTTTTACAAAAACACGTAACTTTACATTATTTTTGATAAAACAGTTGGTACAAAGAAATATCTTTGAATTATAGTAGTATTAGTATCCGATGGTATCGATATATCATCGGACATATCGATAAAACAACTCTCGCATTGTAGGATTGTAGTAAATGAATGATGACCGAGGAATGAACTTTGACGAACCTGTATGATCAATGCAACGCAGTGCCAGTTCTTGTGCAACTCCAATTATAAAAGCATTTAAATGTTTTGCAATCAACACAGAGATGCCCTTGATATTATAAGCTATTGTTCATAACTAAATCATATTTTAACCATAGAGTAAAATATTATAGGTTTTTTTTTTAATTGAAGATTTAATCTTAATTTTGCCAATAAAAGAGAATTTAATTTTGTCCATATTTACTTACATGATTTATCTTATTTTATTAAAGCATTTTTTTTTAATTTCAAAGTTTACTAGAAATTTATATTTGTGTTAATACTGGCACACATTTATAAACTTAAATTATTTAGTAATAAGATTTATATGAATCTAAAAAACTGCGTGTCTATCAGTAAATCAAAGCTATATGATTTACCTCGGGCAGGTGTTTCAATAAGAAATGTCGTAAATAAGTTCACATATATGTATCAAGTTGTACTACTTGTACGAAACTTGAAAAATGTACTATTACCGTTCTAAAAATTTTAAAACGCGATTGTGAATGGAATGTAGTATGTAACTAAGTAATTAAATCATTAACTTACACTTATCAGGAATGTTAATAAAATAGAGCTTTTACTTTTGTTCTCAGTTAAGTTGAACGTAACGGGCTTGTTAATACAATGAAAGTGTACGGTCTGTGATCAGAGACGGAATGACGCGGTATGAACGCACGGCACATTACGTGCACTAATTATTCGGTACAGTGTACCATTTAGTACAGTTTTAATTTTTAGCTATACATTTTGTCAAACTGTACTT